CCAGGCTGCCATGCAACAATTTCATTTTCTCCGAACCGAATCGGCCGCCGCAGGGCTGAACTGGGAGCTGCGATTGCCTTTGACGTGCGTCTTTCCTGAGAGGTGCTGTTGACCCAAAAGGAAGACTAAACAAAAGGGGTGGAGGCACATTTTTTGTTTCAAGATTTCATTTAAATCATTTCTGTGGTGCAACAAGAATCGTTTATTTTATTTTTGGCTGGAGATTGCTCTCTAAAATGGTAATAATTGGAATTATATATACATAGAAATTCGAAGATATTCAATTTCAAAATAACTTTAATTCGACTGAAAATAGTAAAATACTAATCAGATAACATGGCTCAATTATAAGGAATATAATTAATAAATGGATTTCTTTGTTTCAAATAACAATTTACTTTGGTATCATCAGTTGCATCGTAATTATTAACATTTTCACTAATTCGTTGAACACATCAACTAAGAACAAGAAGTCTGAGAAAAGTACATTGAGTTTTCATAACTAGTAATAACATTTGGTTGTAGAGGAAAATAATTATTTCAAATATTTAAATTTAAATTTTTATAAGATATTTTTTATTTATAAAAAATATCTTTGATATTACAATATTTGAAAATATTATTAAAATATTATTAAAACAAAGAAATATAAAAATATAAATGTACTTAAGTATATAAATATATTGTTACATTAATTTGTAATATGTAAAGAATTATTAAGTTTTATAATTGGTTTTTAACTTTTTTTAATTAAATTTTTAACAAGCTAAATCTAAGCTTGTAATGAAAATGAGTCCAATCATGTGATTATTGCGTGGCGCAAATAATCGCAAACAGCCATGTGTTCTCCTGAGAGTGTGTATTTAATGGTGAACGAAATGCGTTGGTTGTTGAGAGTCCCTCTCGATATCCGCCGGAGAGTGGAGGTTGAATGGAACCAACTTGCTGTTACCATGCGAAATCCATCTCTCGCCAAAATCGCCCGCCAGACATAAACACAAAAGCGGTTCTTACTCGAAACAACCGGCAATTGCAACTCTCTTAATTTTTCCTGCATGATAATGCAAAAGGACTGATGAACTTTTCAGTTGAGTTTTGATTTGGTCCATAGCTTAATTTAATTAAGCTCTACAAAGATTTTCAAATTTGAGGACGAAGTGTGAAAAATTTCAGAATTCCAAATGATTGAATTGTATTGAATTATAGTTTAATATCTTGATTATTATTCGCTTTGAAAATAATTTTTGTCTGTTGATGATAAAATTTAAACCGTTTAAATAAAAATTGGTCTTATCTCAAGCCTTTATTTAACCATTTCCATTTTCATGATTGAATTCTAGTTAAATCCAGAAATAAATAATTTGTGAGATAAGATTTTAAATATTTTTTCAAGGTTTTAAAAATTATCTATTTCCAACTGCAGTCGTATTTTGAAATATTGAAATTGATCCTGTGAACCAACAGCAGTTTATTGTAGGGGAGTTAGTTAGTGTCCGGTCGTTATCGCGGGATTAACGCAGTCAATATTGAGCCTCTCACCACCCGAACAAGCAAAAGCAGTTGTTTGTTTGACACAGACGAGAATTAATCTTGGGCCATTTTATCGCAGTGGAGATAAAAAGGCGACCCCTGCCTACATCGATAGAAGAAATTAATAGACACCGAATAATGCAGCGAGCTCAAGGATTTTCCTGATGCCGAGGTTTTGGCCACGCGCGTCTCTCAAAATTGCGTTGTGCATTTAAAACTGGTTTCTACTTCTAGCTTGGGCGTTTGAATTATATCGATGTTCAAAAGTTAAAAGCCAAGGCATGCGAGGTACACGTGCCAATTTTTTAACGCAAGTGAAAGTTTCGCCCTCTTTTCGGAAAATATTTCAATCTTTATATTTCTTCAGCGTAAAGAAGATTAAATTAATGTTTGAGTTTGTCCCTCTCGATGGTCACACGAAGCCCTTTGTAATTAAATATTAGCGAGACGAGCTCCACATGTCTCGGCGATATCATCTCTCTGTGTGTCGGCCATGGCGTCGCTTCTGCCTACCCGCGCGATGACACGTGAATTTCATTTGAAGCGAGTGCTGCAGCTGAATGCCAATCGTTCACTCCACGAGAGTCCAAAAATAAACCATCCACTGAATGCATTTACAAATCTGTATATAAATATACCGTTTAAGAGATGAAAAGATGGTTGTTGTAAAGCCAGCAGAAATAAACGGATGGAAAATTGGAACGCTTTGTCAGAAGATTGATATAAATAATGTATTTAAAAATAATGTTTCAAATTAAGTTATATAATATGTAACGTTCAAATTGCTAGACTGGAAGAGCCAATTACTGTTGTTTTGTTGAGCAAAAATAAGAGACTATTTTAGTCTCCTTTTGTCGTTTTTATTTGTCGGCTCTTATCGCGAATTTTATTTGGTTTAAAAAAAAAGTAAGCGAAACTTGATGTTTCAGGACTCATTAGTGTCACAGATAAATTAAGTCTGTACAACAATAGGAGTCATTTTGGTTTGGGCAATTATTATAAAAAAAACAGAACTTCAAACCACTATTATTTTACAGACTTGATTTTGATTATGCCAATATGGTGGAATCAAATCAACGAATTTTTAACTCTCCCAAAAATTCATTCAGTTTAATATTTTAGTTGTTCCATTTTAATTTTGAATTTTGCTAGGTGTTCATTTAAAATTATTTATTCAAGTGAATTTTAGATGAAATTTATTTAAATCACTGATTAAATATTAGAAAAGAAACTGAAATTCACAAGAAAAATTAACAAAAATTGCATACTTCCTATAATTATTTGTTGTTTTAAAACATTTAAAAAAAAATTCAATAGACTAGAATGTTCAAACCCTATAATAACACAAAATTTTATTGGTTTTATTTTCTTTTCTATTTGTCCAATTTTTAACAATATTTTATTGTTTACACCAAATAATTGTTTCGTAGAAAACAAAAATACAACAATAATTCGTCCTGTTAGCTTTGAAATTTGGTATCTATTCCAATGATAGGATACAAAGTTTTTGCTTTTAGTTTCTACAATTTCTCAGCAATCAAAATAAAAATGAAAAATTGGATTCACTTTAGGCTGATGCGCACTTTCCTTCAACGCTACCAAGAATAAAACTGTACCATTAGTACAACCACCAGCGAGAGTGTTTTGCTAATTCAGCCTTCCACAGCGACTTCCTTTGTTACTCAAACGCGCTACAGAAATTTATAGAACGGAGGAAGCAAATATTGTGAAAAATGGGAATTTTCATGAGAGACGTGTTTTCGATTATTAGGCAAATGTTAATTCAGCAAAGGTCAAGTGCGGTGAGGCCCAATTAAGAATTCATCAGTTGCATCATTCGGCACTTTTGTGCGTGGTTTGGTGAACAGCTCAATTGGTTAAAGTGGTTTGTTGTTTGTTTCTCGCTCTGGCACAAATGGAGACAGCATCAGTCTGCCGTGGCGTCCATCACGGACTGACAGCGAGTTTTGCCAAGGGCGATTCGCTCCTTAAGCGCCTTTTTTTAAATGGTCTTTTGCTCTCTCGTGAAATGATACGTGATTGTGTGTGGAATTTGATAATTGCATTCTTTTCACTATTCTGGAACGCCACACACAAACCGAGTAAATGATGGTGAGTCACACCGAGCGTTTTCAAACCTCCAGTTAGCTTCGAGAATAATATAATGCATTTTTTAACCCGCGATCCGTGATTAGTTATTTTAGATTGAAAATTTGTATTTTTGTTATTTATTCCGTTAAAATCATATTATATTGTTTACAAAACAAATAAATCATGGTTATTTTGAGGAAAATAATTGTCAACAAGAAAGATATCGTTGATCAAAACGGCCTATTCACACTACGCTATTTTAAAAATTTGAATTACTCGCTTTTGTTTTACATTTTGTCAAAAGAACTTTCCTATACTCTGATCCTAAACTTTGGTTTTTACATTTTTACAAAGTAATACAGTCAAGATTTGATTATCAAGTAAAAAGTGTGATTCCTTTTATTCAAATAGGTGTAATTTACAGGCGTTTAAACAATTATAATCTCTTTTTGGAACTAAAATTAATATTTTTGATATCCAACATTGATTTTTTCCTTTTTTGAGATTCTGCATAAATTTAGCAGAAGCGGCATTAATAAGTAAAAAAAAAATGAAAATATGAGTAGAATGAATGCAAAAAATATGTTTCTGGTGTTAAATATTCTAGTCGTATAATATGTAAAGCGGAGAGTTTCAAGTAAAGCTAGCCAAATGGCTTTTTATGGCAATTTCCCAAGCAACTGATACTGTTTCCTTAAGTAGGCCAATCTCTTACAGTGCTTACAATGTCTTTTACATGTATGGTACGATATTTCTTTAAAAACATTGTTTTTAAATTGTGACACTTTTTCCTTGCAATTTTATGATGAAAAATAATTTAATATATTATATGAAAAAAATTACTAATGCGCAATTAAAATGATGAAAAGATGCAATACAAGGACAGTGGAATAGAATTTAATTTTATATGCTCATTTATATTGGGTGTGAATATTTATGCTTCAAAAAATTTAGCCTTGTCATATTTTATAAATCTTATTAAATGAAAGCCACACAGTGAGAAGCCAGGTAGTTAGGAAATAATTAAGTCAATATACAATATTTAAAAAATAATCGGATCTTCTGCATGACAAAAATGGAGTTATTTGACAACAAATTGCTCAATAATAATAGGGTTGATAGGTTCGTAAAATTTAAATTTTTTTTGTGAAAAATAAAGATACCATCTTTAAAAAATATTTCGTTAAATATTCATAAAAATTAAAGTAAAAAGAAGCTGGTAAAAAAATATAATTATTAAATATTAAACATAATATTATTAAAACAAATTATTAAACTTACTTTTTTAGTAATGTAAAAAATATTTAGTTTAAGTTTATATAAAATTTTATATTTTAACAAACAAAATATAAATCTACTTTGGTAATATTTGTTGGCAGACGGACAGTGAGTGCAGCGATGGCGGCGACATGGAAACTGCCCAGCGGCTGACCAGTGAGGAGGGCGGCGACGCGGCCGCGATGGAACAGTCGTACTTCGAGCTGCCGGCGCCGCCGGACGGTGGCTACGGCTGGGTCATCGTGTTCGCCAGTTTCATGTGCAACATGATCGTGGACGGCATCGCCTACACCTTCGGCGTCTTCCTCGACGACTTCGTCACGCACTTCAACGAGGGCAAGGGCACCATCGCCTGGGCCGGATCTCTCCTCTCGGGCATGTACCTCAGCGTCGGTGAGTTCAATTGTTATTCAATTATAATTAATGCACTTTAACATAAAAAAATAAACATAATATAATCAGAATGAGAACATTCATTATTCTTGCTATTTCTGTATCTTGATTTTGTTCCAACGAGCATAAAAATTACTAAAAAATTCTTTTCAAATGGGTTTGGTATGAGTTTACTTGATTAAAATGAAAAGTTTTAAAATATTTTCTTAGCATTACTAGCATTAAATTTTCTTACTATCAGTTTCATTAGTAAATTTATTTATTTGATATTTATTTTAGGTAGAATATTTTGAAATAGGATTTGTAAAACACTTTTGATATGTTTAATAAATATTAAACGACCTAAAAAAACTGGTACATTCTTATCTTTCTTAATTACAGTTCGTAATATTTATTATTTCCAAAATATTCTAGTAAAACAAAAATCGTGTATTCAACTTTGAGATAAAACAAGCTACGCTTTAATTTACTTTTATATGAATCCATAGCCAACATAATTTTTCTAATTATTTTGTCATTTAAAAGGACCGCTTGTGTCGGCGCTGGCGAACAAATTCGGCTGTCGGGCGGTTTGCATCGCGGGCTCGGTGCTGTCGTGCGTGGCCTTTGCGCTGTCCACGCTGTCGCCGAACGTGACCGTGCTGATGCTGACCTACGGGGTCATGGGTGGCATCGGCTTTGGCCTCATCTACCTGCCGGCCGTGGTCGCCGTCGGCTACTACTTCGAAACCAAGCGCTCGCTCGCCACCGGAATCGCAGTGTGCGGCTCGGGGGTTGGCACCTTCGCCTTCGCACCCTTGGCCGACTACCTGCTCAAGACGTTCGGCGGGTGGCAGGGCGCCAACCTCATTCTCGCAGGACTCATTCTCAACTGCGCTGTAAGTTTTGCATTGAAATTGCGTTTTAAAGGTCCTGGTCAATTTATTTATTCGAGCCAGTTTTTTAAATATTTTTGTAATTATTTTACTGTGTATTTTATTATTTAATCTATACTTATGATTTTTTAAATTAAAATATTAAATGTTGAATAATCGAAATATTCACTTGAATTTTTATACACAAAAATATTATATTTTTCACGTTATTTTCACAATGCTAGAAACTTAATAGATAAAATTGTGTGATTATTATAATAAAATTAAAAATCTAAAAGACCACCAAAATTTTACTTGATCTAAGCTGCCTTTTTTTGAAACCTAAATTTAATTCAGAGATTACTTAAACTTTCTGGAAAGCTTAAAACTTTCGAGACTCGAGTTTAATTGCCTGATATGACTTGTTTTTTATCTACTTCTTTTTCAAACTCCCAAATTATGGCTTACCACACGATAAAAATAAATATTGTATGCATCAATTTAAAAATGAAGTCTCAAATACTAAGATGATTGCAATGTTCTCTCAGATCTTTGGAGCCCTGATGAGACCATTAGAACTGGTGCCAGTGTACGACATGGAAGACAACGGCGAGAAGAGAAAACCTCTGCTGCAAAGAATGGCGGAGGAGAAGAGGTGATTACTTTGATTATTTTAATTTTTTTTCACCACGTAAAAAATGCACCTGAAGTAGGACGACGTTCTCGAGATTTCCATCTCATCAAACAAAGGCTCTCTATTTATAGTCTTCTTAATTCGATTTGTTTGAAATTTTCAGGTTCGCCATGGAGCGAGGATCGATTTCCGACAGTTTAGCAGGGTCCAGTTACTTTATGGTTCAGTTGCCTGACGGCAGTATGGAGAAAAGACTTAAAATGCCTATCAACATTGACCCAGGAGTGCATTCTAGTTTCAACCTAGACCAACTCATCCCAGGTAAATTAAACTTGGAAGAATTACATATTTAAATAAAATCAGGACAGGTGAAATGAAAAGATTTGCCTTTTAAAAAAATTAGGTTTATTTATTGTAAATTATTGTCTGGTTTACAATCTAAAGGAAATTTTTTTAAATTTTCCACCTTTAAATTTAAATTAATCAATCATTCATTTAACTTGAAGGAAATAAATATTTCTTCGTTACATTAAACATTTAAAAAATAAAGAGTTCAACTAAAAAAATCATAAAATTCTGAAAAAGCATTAATTAAAATACCATTTATCTGGACTACACTTAAATAAAAATGACAAGAATAGTTTATATTTTGATAATTTAAATCCTTTTACGTTGAACAATAATTCTCTAATTGCATATTTTTTTTTTAATTAGGAACCCCCGTGACCCCGAACCCCACTCTGCCCACAATTTCCGAGTCCAAGCCAATCGACATCCCAAAGATTGAGCGGCAGGACGTTGACCAAATGGCCACGTCCGCGTCGCCGCCGGCACCGTCTTCACTGCCGAAGCCTTCGCTCCTGTCCCACGTCCCCGGCATCACGGGTCTGCCGCGAAACGCGTCCCAGCCGGCCTTTTCCACCAACCCGGGCGGCATCCCCAAGAACGGCAGCGTGCCCTTCTTCGACCGCATGCGCAAATCTAGTCTGGGCACGCAGCAGCAGACCAAGGGCGGAAACCAGCAGAACCTCGGCGTGCCCAACCGATCCAAAACCAACCTCTCTTCGGGCCATGACCTGCGCAAAAGCCTCCAGCTGCGCCTCAGCACCTCGTCCTTTTTGGGAGCCTCTCGAAACAACAACACCGAAGACGTGAGAAATCATCAATTTAATTTTAATTGCATTTTTAAATCCAAAACAGCTAAATTTTAGCCTCTAACTAAAGTTTAATGGCCATCAAATTAAAAATAATTCTGTTATTGAGGATCTTTTTAAAAGTTTTAAGTGGTTTGTAAGCAAACGAAAATTTATAAAGGACTTCTAAATTCAAATAAAAAAGAGCCAGTTTTTTTCCCCATAAATTTGATTTTGAATTCGTCCCAGGTATTGAACCAAAAAGTTTAAGTTTTGGGACTGAATTTCTATGTCTTCAAAATTTTTTTATGGAAGGCAAAGTTTTATTTGTAAAAAGAAAACTAATAAAAAAATATTTTCATGAAAGGGAAAGTTGTGAGATGCCTGTTTTTTGGGCAAAGTTCAATGCTCTTTTATAAATAATCCCTTCATGATAATTTTTTTTTATCAATTTGTTAAACTTTTTAAAATGTTTCAGATCGAGTCACTCGCCCTTTCGAAGACCTCGCTGGCCAAAACCTCGCAAATAATGCTTCGCCCTCTCTCTCGCAAAGACATTTTCTACTCTGGCAGCGTGGCCAACTTGCCCGAATTCCGTCTGAGTCAAAAGTCACTGACCATGTATCGCCAGTCGGTCATCTCGCTGCCGAAACTCAAAGCTGGATCCGAGATTGACGGCCACATTCCCCTGGAGCCTGAGACTGGCGGTAAAATTTTCAGAATTGATAAAAAAGTGATCAAATTAAGAATTTAAATATTTTTCAGGCTGCTGCCCTCCGAGTGTGAGCTCTGTTTTGGCCAGCATGATGGACACGTCCCTCCTGAAGGACCCTGTTTTCATGATGATCGGCATTTCTAACATTTTCGGAATGCTCGGCCTCTATATTCCCTTTGTGTACCTAGTGGATGCAGCAACTCAAGAGGTTTTACTAAAAATAGTCAAAAATTGAGCTGCTTTTAATAATTTGGAATTTTCAGGGCGTCGAAAAATCTAAAGCTACGTTTTTACTGTCAATTATCGGCATAGTCAATACTGTAGGACGCGTTTTGTGTGGATTCGTTGCTGATCTGCCTCAGGTGAAATGTTTTTATAAATTTAATTATTTTTGAAATAAGTTAAAAATTTTACCCACTAAAAATAGAGAATTAATTGTCCGTTTTACCAATTCTAAGAAAGGTTAATTGAAAAGAGGTTTAATCGTGCGTAATTTCAGGTAAATACTCTTTTGATGAACAACATTTGCTTGGTTCTGAGCGCCCTTGCTGTTGCCGCAACTCCCTTCTGCTACGACTACACAACTTTCTGCTGCATGGCCATAGTATTTGGAATAGGCATTTGTAAGTTTTAAGTTTTTCTCCTCTGTTTTGGCGAAAAGTAATTTAAATTTAATTAATTTCAGCTGGCTACATTTCCCTCACTTCTATTATTCTCGTTGACCTGCTTGGCTTGGACAAATTAACTAACGCATTTGGCCTGCTCATCTTATTCAGAGGTTCTGCAGCAATTGTTGGTAAGAATGCTTGAAAATTAAATAAGATTTTATATGGCTTGAAAATTTTAAGAAACAATTTTACAACAGATAAATTTTATATTCTATTCATATAATTTTATTTAATGTATTATTCAATTTTTAATAAGTATTTTATTAACAAAAAAACATATATAAGTGAATATTTAAAGATCATAATTTAAACTAAAAACATATTCAAGAACCTTCAAAAAAATTTTTTATTTGGCATGCTTTTCAAATAATATGATCAAATTCAAAGATTGATATTTTGTGGAAGGTTCTCTTTATTATTGTCTTTATTAAACGTTCTCTTTACTTGAATATTGAAAAGTAATTAACATTTTCTTTTTAATAAGCAATTGCATGAAATTTTTTTTATGATTTATTTAAAATAATAATGTGGTAATTTTTTTAATCTTCAAAATTTTTTTCTGATGCAACTAGATTTCATTCTGGAAAAAAATCTGTATATTTTAAAAACTCTGAGCTTCTTGGTAGGGAAGTCTCTATAATCTTATTAGCGTGAAATTTAAAGTCAACTTTTTTCAACAGGCAAAGTTATTAAATGGTTAAGTTCAGAATTTCCAAATTCTGACCTACAAAACCATTTTTTCATTATATATAAATATTTTAAATTAACAATAATAAGAATTGAAACCGGAAAAACAATATTTACAAAAAAAAATATTTGTGCTCAAATGAATAAAACTTTTATCTAATCTAATCTAAATTTATGCAGGTTCACCACTTGCCGGCGCAATTTACGACGCAACCAAAAACTACACCGTGCCCTTCCTGATGGGAGGTTTTTTCTTCTTGCTGGCGGCTGGCTTTTCTTTCGCTGCCCAACCTTTGAGGAACTGCCTGAACAGGCGTGGCGGCGGCGCCGTTTTCGAACAGAGCCCTGAGGAGGACGACCTGGCGCAAAACCGCGGCTTCCTCGACCCCATCACTGAGGAAAACGAACACAACACAGTGACCGCGCGCGAGGGCGCCATCCTCGCGCAAAAACTGCAAAAGGAGAAAGTGCAACAAATCGAGTCGGTCCTTTAACGATTTACAAAATAAAAAAGATAGAAAAACGCGAGAAAAGTCTTGCAGAGCGTGACGTACGAACGTGAAAAGGTGTCAATGGAAAAAAAGGACACTGCTTATTTTTTCAAACTTTCATCGTGCCATCATTGTTAAAAATTGTACTTCTACGGAAAAAACGTATGTATGGTTTTGCAGAGAGTTCCGACGAACGAGGAAAAATCATTTATGTCTTACACAATTTTTAAGATTATATTGCTGCGTATGTTAAAACGAAGAAGTGATATTTAATTTTTACTGCTGGAGTACTTGGGGTGTGAATACAAACTGAATGTATTTTAAGCGCGAGACTCACTCTCTCCGTGTTCTTTTTTTGCTAAGTTTTATTTAGAATGCTAAACAAACTCAATTATTAACAATGAAAGGCATTCCAAAGCAATTTTAATTAACGAGTCTTATATTCCTCTAGCCTTAAACTCTGATGTTAAAAGATAACGTCTGAAAATTCATGACTCGAAAATGAAACATACAATTTCAAACACACGCGCCATATAATTATAAAAAAAAAAATGCAACACAAATTAATATGTACTTGTAATACATATAATAGAAAGAAAAAAAATGAGAATCTTAGGAGAAGAAAAACTGTAGAATGAAAATGAAAAGATTTCTGTGATTAATTTGATGCTTGTGAAACACACGCTAAGCTAAAGATAAAAGCATGAAAATCAACTTCACACAGTTTCCATTTAGAAACAAAAAAGATCATGAAAAGAACACTTGTATTTTACCGCACATAACGGTATTATTTCAGTATTTAAATAAATTTCAGATTAAATAAAAACAAAATATTATATTCTTTCTTCTGATCTGACCTTATTTTCCAATTGAGAGTAATATGCTTGAATTAAATTTATGAGTATCAAATGCAAATGCACAGGCATCCATTAATATGCGCGCAATTTCGTTTATTACTGTGGTAACGACCGGAAATGAACAATTTGGAGTATTTTTCTAATTCAACCTTGACGCGAATTATTTTACTGCCCTTAAATCATAATAATATTATCAAATTCTGAGCTAAAAAAACTGGCTTGTATTTTTATTTTCTTCTTATCACAACATTTAAATAGCCAGAAAAGATAAATGATGCTATTACCTAAAATTTCACTATATTGAATTAATTAACTTAATTGGCAGTATTTATTCGAGATAAATAAATATGGGCACTAAAATAAATATTAAAGAAAATACATTATACTAAAGATTAAAAATTTGATGCTCCTTGCTTTTGTATTAATTTAATTGTTATTTTCATTAGATTCCCACTTTCTTTTTATGATAACATGTTTATTTTCAATATCTTTTCAATCAATCATTGTCAGTCAAACAACGATGGTGCGTAGACTATCCCGCCAAACCTCCAGTTGCGCCAAGTTGCCTATTTTACGGGCGATTGCCTTTGGTAATTATTTTGCCATTAGAGGCCCCTCAGGCCCTCCCCCGAAACGAGAAGCAGGAAGTTGATTTAATGGGCCGGCGATTTCGAATGGGCGAAATATTTTTGATGGCAAAAAAAAGGAAGCGAATTTGCGCGTCAACTTTTTTCGGTTAGGGGGCAGGAGTAAACACCTGCCTTTGTGGGGGAGTGTAAACAAATGCTTAATAATGAACAAATAAATGCACAAGGGAAATCCAGAACTATCAGCATATATTGATTTTTTGGCCCCTATCGAACTAAAAATAACCCTTTTATTTTCATTCTTAGCTGCAAATCTGTTGCAATTATAAAGCAGTAATTTCAGTTTCATTTTAAATTTTGTGTATCAATATTTTATATTTTGCTCTTTTCTTGAAAATTTTATTTGATCAGAAAAGAAATTCATTAGCAAGGCAAACGAGGTCCTCTTTAACTTGGTGACATCTTCACACGTGGGTGGGCACGCCAATATTTATGCTGAATGACAGTGATGGGTCTGAACAAAAATTAATATTCGCCCCTTCTACCTTTTCACAAGCGCAATTCATGCAGATCGGGCGCGGAGACCTTCAAGGTAGCAACGCCCACATTTCGGAATAAATTAGTCAAATTTACGACAGCCGTTTGGTTAATAAGCGCACGCAGATTTCTCGGTCATCGGCCGTAGAGACGGAATTTTCGCACGTGGACGAATGACAAAATATTTTAACACCCGACAGAGACGCATCCAACCATAAACTAATCTGATATGATTCATACTGAATGATATGAAGCGAGATTATCCAATTTGCATTAGAATTGAGGTTATTTCGCTTGGCGCAGATGTTTCAACAAACATATAAACATACGCCGCGCGCTCTCAACTCGGCATGGATCTCTATTTGTTCATTAAGCTTGAGAGTTTGCTCAGTCGTCAAACTTGCAAATATTGCGTCTGTGACAAAACAATATATCACAGAACCTTCAGAAGGGTTAAGGACAGGTTTGATCACGTCAAGTTCAGACCTTGCAATATAATTTTTTTCTCCTTAATAATTGTAAATAGATATTTTCCATAATTTACAACAAGTGGTGGTCTCATATAAAATTGAAAAAATAATGTATTTTTTAATTGCTTCCTTTTTTTATTAATTAAAAAATTTGATCATATTCATGTCTCATTTTCAGCACAATTCAATTCAATTAATGAATATGGCAAAATAAAAAATTGCTATTTTTATTTTGAGATGTTGACGTTTTATGTCATTCGATCATTCAAACTTTCGTTTTATTCAGTAATGAACGTATCAGAGTTAATTTGCGTGCGCGATTTAAATCAATCAGAAACGTGTGTGACATCACGGCGCCGCGTCGGAATATAAAAGAGCCCCATAAAGAGAGGAAACCCGGTATTGTTCCACAAACTTGGTCACGACCTTGAACTGACAAAGGCCCATTTGGGTTCCGACGTTTGAGCGCGAGTGCATCAAAAGGCGATAATATTCATGAGCGAGAGCAGTTTCGAAACGCGCTGCGCAAAAAGCTCCAAAATTTGTCAGCTGCTGCTGCGGGATTTCGAAAACGCAGCACGGGGCTGATCTCCACACTTTGGAGGAGTCGGCGCATCGGGACCATCCATTGTGTACACATGCCCGGCATTATAGTAGTGCGTGACCCACTTTTTGCGCTCACAAAACAGTGCACACAATCCGGGTGAATTAATGATTTAACGCTAAATTAGGGAACAGTGCGAGCTCGGCGAGATTGCTATCGAAAGATGAGAGAGTGAATAATGGCACTCCTTTGTAGAGTGGCAAAGAAACGCCTTACTCTGGCTTTATTGCCACTTCAATGTGTGATACTTTAATGATTGATACAATGCTGGAGGCAGGATGTAAATTTGGTATTGAACAAAGAAAAAGTATAAAATAATCTATTATTTAATTTGACGAACTTGACTTACTTTTTAATTTACACAAAATGCAAATTAAGTACAGTATATATATTTTTATATATATTTTTACTCATACCAAACAGTTGGTATCCTGAGATCCAGTAGATTAATTTTTCCGCTGAATCAAATAAAACATAACTTGGGTTCAATATTTAATATTTGAGAGCGTATTTTGACGGTAATTTAAGGTAATGAATTAGCTGTAGAGGCCTTGAAAAGGACCAAAATTGAAGATAGTAAAAAATTATTGCAAACCGATTATTAAATGTAATAGAGCATAATTAAACGTGCGTTTTTCTGGCTCCTTAATTCAACATTAAGAAGAAACACCTTTGAAAATTGGCCTGAATAATTTTGAACAAAGATGCACAATATACATAAATTATTGTGAAAATAATGGTACGGAGAAAAGATAAGCACATTTTTAATTAACTCCGGTGATGTACTTTTAATCCTTCATGCAACAATGAAAACCACCAATTCAGAATAATAAGCAAATTGGCTACTAAAGATATCTTATTTCAATTTACATCAATATAAACTAAAGTGGAAATAAAATTTTAATTGTACATTTAATTTTAATTTCTATAGAATTGAGCAGATATGAAGATTTGTATGACGCAAAAGTTATGCAAGGAATAGACAGAATTGTTAATTATAGTAACCGTGCAAAATAAAACAATGCATATTTCTCTAATGTATATTACGCCGCTTGTAAAGCAACACATTCTTCTGCTAGATTAGATTCCGCTCCCCACGGAAATAGCAGAAAATATTGTGCTGGTCATAAATTTTTCTCCGCTGACAAGGGGAAGATCCTTTATACCTAAAAATTACTGCGTAGTTTCGGCCACCTGTGATGTTCCATAACATCAGGTATGTTAGGGAATAATGAGGGGCGACCCACCCTTCAGACCAATGACATTTATGTAGATTGCTAAAGTTGCACCAAAAACCCACGTAAAAATCAGCAGACTCTCGTCGATCATTGGTAATGTAATTTTTAAAATTTACTTGCTGCACATTTAATTTTATTGATTGGTTCGATAGTTATCAATTTTATCTGTTATTATACAGAGTGTGTCAATTTTGTAAATCCCGACGTAATCAAGCAATCGAGGAAGTGGGAGGATTTTAATTTTTAACTTCCACAAAATTAAATATCACGAACACAAGTATGTGTTAAAAACACAAGGTAGGAATAGGAAATTTTATGGAAGAAAAATACTGCGTAGTTTTCATATCAATCCATTGAAAAATCAATAATGCATGAGCTGCCTTCGCGTGGGACACTTTACTTCTGATAGAATAACATTGATAAAGTGATCGTCGTAAATCGAATAAATTAGGTATCGTGTCTTATTTATCAAATCTCTTCACGCAGCTTCGCAACAGCACTACTTTCAAAGATAAACACAGCACATTGCCACACATCAGCATCTGCAAAAGATCAGTGTTGGGCCTCCAATTGGGTTAAGTTGCGCTTAGCCTTAAACGCAAAGCGCGCACACTCCCCCTAAATATAAAAGTTGTCAACAGCGAAATTGTTGCTTTTGGAATCTGTAATCTGCGGCGCGGAGCACGTTCGCCGGCGAGCGCGCAGTTGTCCCTGAACTAGAAGCGAAATTAAAATAAAAAAAGTGACAAAGAAAGAAAGAAAGTCCAATGAGTGTAATCGAGTCGTCTTGTGCCATTGACAAAAGTATCCTAAGACATGGAAGGAAGGCATCAGTAGGAAAATGTGGAGCAACAAAACAGGTTACTTGGTCCGCATCCCTTCGACATAGGGGAGCACGTCGTTCCCTCTCCTCTTAAAATTAGCTTTTGCGTCGTATTTTTATTTCCTCGCGAGAAGAGCGTCCTGCTTTCATTGTGCCTCTCTTCCATGGAGCGCGAAAAACGCTCAATATTACACGAATTGCGCCGCAGCGTGGGAGGAATCCGATAAAAGCGAGGCAGGAAAAGGCAGCTAGGAGATTGAAATTTGACTCGCACCTCCTCTTGACTGGTTTTGAACTTTGATTGATGACCTCAGAATTTTTGTAATTAATTCCATATTCTTTTTTAGTTACATTTTTCTTTGAAGTAAAATTTATATAGGGCTGGGAAAATAATCTGAACTATCTACTGCTACATAATATTTTCACCGCATTCTTAACAACATAAAATAAAAAATCATGATGTATGAAATTTGGATAAAAAATAACAGAAATTATAATAAATGAAAAATTTTAATTGCATATAAAAATTTAATTTTTAAGATAACAAATTTATCTAATTCTTAGCACAACTTTCCCTAGGAGAGATGTAAAATTTATTTGTTAACAGCTTTATAATATTTCACCCTTTGTAATTTATTTTTTATTTTTATTTTTCATTCTGGTACCAATATTAGGTTTTGGCTGCAGATAACAGTCTTTTTGTCGCAAATATAAAACATTATCTTTTCATGTTAAAAAAAATATATATAAAATTAAAAAATAAAAATAAATAATAAAATATATTTTACCAAAAATGAAATACTAATAAAAAATTAAATAAATATTTTATTTTGTCCTTAATTAATTAGGCTCTCTTTTTGATACGCCTTTAGTGTTAAACATGAAATTCAAATGAAGGTTCAATATCGCTTCATGAATGAATATTTTTTATCATTTCAAAATAAATTTTTGGGTCAAACTATCAAATCCTACTCAATTAAGCAAAAAATCAAAATGTGAACATTTAGGTTTTTCACTCTTTTTTTAACCAAAACAAAACAAGGACAAAGCCTGATTTTAATTCACGATTGTTTCCTTGTTCGTACAATTTTCCTCACAGGCCGATAAAAGTAGCAAACATAATATGAAAAATAAAATTTATTATTGCGTTCCTTTTTCCTAGTAAAAATTTTATTTCTTGTGATATCCTGTAAATAAATAATTCATAAAATCTACCTATCCCCCCATTATTGATAGTTTAATTGGTTGTTGTTTTTATTTAAAAATATCTTTGTAAAGTTCATGCAGAGCTAGGTAGATTTGTTTTTTCGGAGAGGAGATCAAGCAAGGTAGGTGGGTGAAAATAAATTTCTACCAAACATGCTACTTTAATTGTTGCAATGATTAATTTTAACAGTATAATTTCAGGAAATTTATGAAAATATTAAAACACGTTAGATAAACGTCAATGAACTTGATTTCACTTTCAGATACGCCTCATCAACGCCGGGAAATGTGCAGATTTTATCGCGTTTGAAATTCAATATTGGAAGCGAGTTGATGCGAGCCTGCAGTTGGAATGAAAACCTGACTCGGGTTTCATTAACAGAACTCGCCGTGTCCCAGCATCAAGCATTGGGTGACAGGAATTATGCGCGACTGGCTGAATTTGAGTCTCGTACACACTTTACTTCTAGCGCATTTTTCGCGAATATCATTTCGTTGCAACCGAGAGTGACGCGATCGCCCGAGTGTGCAATTCAAGTTCAGATGCACCTCACGCGCCGAGGGGTTATTTCAGTTCTAAATTTAGACGCGACTGAAAGCTCTGTAAAAGTCTCAACTTGAAAATTTAAGTGAAAAATACCATTGTTTGATCTTCAGGGGGCGATTGTGCGAAAAAATTATTTCTTGACAGGTTGAAATCGACTCGCTCGCTTCGAGGCAGAAATCAAATTGTAAATATTTACTAATGTTCATTGGATTTTGGTTGAGACGGACGCTTGGTTTATATAGGGTAGAGCGGCTGTGGATTTGGATTGGGCAAAAGAGCGCGCTCTATAAAAATAGTTTGGCCGATCGCCATCCAAGTAAGAAGGAAAGAATTGCTCGACGCGCATTATTCAATTATTATTCAACGGTTGCACAAGAGGAGAGAAGAGGATGCTGAAGCGCGATCTCACGCGACAGACTCGCTGGGGGAGATTCCTACAGGTTGCTTGCTAAATTCATTCAACAAAAGGACAAAAATTACACAATATGAAAGTTATTTTTATAAATTTTAAAATGGTTATATAATGAGAGGATATTTTGATTTTTTTTTTTCTTTCAACAGAGCAAAAAAGAATTTTAGCTTAACTGAACTGAATGCTTTCATATTTAATTTAAAATATAAAACCAATTCAAATGTAAATTTATTGAAACAGATTTTATTGTAATTATGCAAAGAAAAACATTATTTCTAATCAATTAAATAAAAAGACAAAATCTTAATAATCATCTGTTATTGACTCCAAATAAAGAAAAAATGACACTTTAAATTAAAACTAAAGAATTTAAAACATGTTAAAAAAATTATTCCTATGTTAAAATTAAAACATTTGTTTAATGGTTAGAAAAATGAAACATAACAAGCATTAAAATGCATTTCTGAGTTATATGAGGAGGCATAAAGAAGTACAAAATTAAATCTCAACAGAAAATTGTTGTTAAACTCGGTTAAATTTTTATTTTAGAAATTGAAGATAAATCTGATGATTATTTAAGTTCAAGTAATAAAATAAATTACTTTTCTAGAGATAAACTAAAAAAAAGTCAACATTCAGTTTTTTTTTTCTAAAACAAACAAATTTTTAAGAAATGTTTTCTAATCAATCTGTCTGTGCATATATTTGCTGGCGATCAGGTGCAATCAAACATGCACCGGTTGCTTGATTAAACAATTAATTTAATGGTTGTGGGGCGCGCGTTGAGATGTAAACACAGCGGCGAAGATACGAAAAGAGAGGCAGGTCGACGGTCGGGCTTTGAAATTCCCGGGGTCGAGCGAATTTGGCCAAAACGGCCAGGGTGGCGGGACGTAAATCAGCCGCAAAAGTGGCGGACGCGGCGCGGCCAAAAGTCCCGCTAAAAAGGCGCGCCGGCCGATTCCCGAGTCGACCTGCTTGAACTTTGAGCCATGCTCGCGGTCCTGTTCGCCACGTTCGCCGCGCGCTGGGTACCAGCCAATGTTTTGTGTTCCCCCCACCCTGTCCTGCGGGGCATGTGCGAGTTAGGGTCTAAGCCTGCCATGGATCGCGCACTCGCCAGTGCTAAGCACCTACCCTAGCGAACAAAGTGCGCCGCCGACACACGGTCCTCCGCAACCGCCGAGACTTAATTTTCTTCCAAGCCTGAGTGAGTTTCCGATCTCGAAGGATTTCGTCGACGCCGAATGCGAAAAGCCACGTGCACTTTATTTTTGTTTGCCCGTTTTTTTAACGACTTCCGTGCTGGAGAGTGGGTTTGTCAGCTTCATTGTGCGGGGGATCGGCTAACGCGCCGGTTGTAACCTTGATGCACGTGATGCATGCGTAATTTGCTTTTTAGAGTCGAGCCCCTGAAAGTTAATTACTTTATAGTTTACTTATTTTATTCTATCCATTTTTTTTCTTAAGAAAATATTTTAAACAGTTGAAAAATATTAATCAATTCATTCAATTTATTAAATCTCCCTCTCATTTCTTGTAAGAAACATTTCTGGCTCGTGAATCTTGACCACATTCAACTTTACTAAACGCTGATACTTCTTAACGGGGAAAGCCTTGAAATGCGCACAAAAAATTATTGATTTTTTTTAAACAGCTTTCGCTTCCTTTCTGCCTTTATATCAACATAAAAAAATATATATTAACCAGCTGATCCAGCATAGTTTGGCAGGAGGCCATCGAAATTTACAAAACTAAATGCAACCTGCACGACGCGCTTGTCATTAAAATGCATGAATCTTGAAAAAAGTGCGGCTTAGGCAATTTCTTGACAACTACGCCGTGCAGGTTGCATTTTACTTCACTTTGATTGCTTTCTTCAGCCAACTATGCAAAAAGTGATGCTGGAAAAAGATCGAAATCAAATTTTTACACGTTGAATACTTTGAATTTGTCAGACTAATTTATATTTAATATAAAAAAAAACCATTTGCAAAGTTCTGCACTGCAAGTATAAACCAATAAAATAAGTTTATAATGAATTCTGTTAAAGCTTTTTTAAAATCTTACTTTGTATCACACTCAACAGAACTGTGAAGGAAATTTATCAATTCATATTATAATGAAAGTGTCAGGTAGTTATAAATCCGCGGGATCCAAAGTTGGCAATCGGCCAAAGCGCTAAATTCATTAAATCGGTTCATTAATCAGCTTTTAGATTGGCGGATGCTAATTTATTAAAATGCGTTGCAGAAACATGAGTCGAGTGGGATCCGTACCGGAAGGAAAGAGCAATCCAGCGTTCAACAATTCGCCGAGCAGGTGAGCATTTTCATATTTTAAAACTGTATTCAAAATTGATTGCGAACAATGACACTGAAAAAAACAACTTAAAATAGACTTAAATGTTTTGGATTTCGTGAATAAATTTATAAAATAAATTTTTGTTTATATTTTTCAGTTAACTTGACCCTATTTAATGATAAAGAAAATAAACACAAAACTAAAGTAAATTAAAAAACACAAATTGAAGGAAAGAATTTTATGGAAAGTTTTGTTATAGTTTTCTTTTTTTATTAACGTTTGTGATTAAGAATTAAAATAAATGTATATTTCGCAAGTTTAGCGACACACTTTTTCAAGTGGAGCAAAAGTGCGCGCGAATTTTGTCATTGGCGTCTGAAGGTTAAGCTAACAGTGTCGGCAGAAATTTGGCCGACGCGCCCGAAAGTGATTTAGAAAGTGTCAAAAGTCGCCCCGCGCCGAACGCGGCCGGCGCCCACTCGCGTTCAAAAAAAGACGCCGAAGTGCGAGCCAGCAGCGTTCTCGGGCGAGCAAAAGCGAAAGAAAGAATTAAGAAAGACAGAAAGCTCAAGCAAGGAAGGCACCACCTGTATTTAGAACACTCGAGCAGAGTGATTTTTATTTTAACCGGTTTGAGCTGCTGCTCGCACTTTGGAACTCTGCCGAGCACGCGACTTCTTAAATTACTAAACAGTGGAGTGGCCGCGCCGTTGGTCCCGCCGCTCGCGGATGGACGGGTCTTATGAATAGACCAACCCTGTCATTGCTTCTTCTAAATCTCTGCTCGAATCTGCGCGCCCGCCCAAGACAAAGGCCCGGCGACACGCACTCGCTGCCTGCGTGCGGTTTGTTGCCCTCGGCCGGCCTAATGTAAATAAAACAGGCTGCTGCTGCCACCCTAATTGACCACCACAATATCTGGGCTGTCCGAGCCACTTAGTTCGGATCGCGGGGTGCTTCTTTCCGTCCTATCCAACGCTAGCTGGCATTGGCAGCGACTTTGATACATTTCATTTATAATTGGTCTAATTATTCAAATTATCCATACTGAAACTTGCATCTCCACCTCAAATAATCAAAATCTTCAATAAAAGTTTTCATAATTTATTTTCAGTTATAAAAACTTTTTACAATTTTTCGCCAAAGACTAATTGAAAATGAATCAGCTGTATTGGAATTAGTTAGAGAGTTATGATATTTTAATTTATTAACTTTATGAATATTTCAATATTGATTAGATTAGATTATAATTTTGTATTCGTTTGGGCAAAAATTTCATCAACAAGCACAAAAATACTTTCAAACTAAGTTAATGCTGCTCGTATAACATGTAAAGTCATTATTGCTAGATAAAAAAAATATGCCCGAAAAACGAGAGCTGATTTTTTTTATTTACAATTCATTGGCTTTGCTGACGTTTTACAACAATTTTTTTCTGATATTTACATGAGTTAATCAAATTTTTCTTTTTTATAATTTCTCCAAAATCAACCAGACAGGAGGCAAATTTGAATATTCCGTCTCTAAAAACCTGACATTTCGTAAATTGTAATTTGTTATTAATATCAATTTATTATGATTCAAACATAAAGTATAAAGTGCTTTTCCCTCATTTCTTCTAATACCAAAACATGAATTTCCAGCGCAGAGCTCGGCAATGCTGTTCTCAACGTGCACCTGGTTTCGGTGAGCAGCAGAGTGCCCTTGGACACGGGCAACCAGCAGCTTGTCCAGAGCGAATTAGGGCCCACCTCACAGTATGACCCCTATCAGCACAGGGACGTCAAGCATCCCACCAAGTAAAACTTACTAGAATTTTTAACTTTAATCTAAACTCGAATTCAATAGAAAAATCTAGAAATAAATTGTTGATATTTTAATATAATTAATTTTAATGTTTTTTTTTTAGCAACACAGAGACAATGCTGCACCTCCTCAAAGGAAGCCTCGGCACTGGCATTCTGGCGATGCCGAATGCCTTCAAAAACGCCGGCTGGGTAATAGGTCTGTTCGGCACCCTTTTCATCGGCTTGATTTGCACCTACTGCATTCACATGCTGGTATGTGCATTTTTTTTTTTTTTTACAAACCGACAGTCAGCACACGTCTTTCTTTGTCGTGTGAAATTGCTGACGTCAGAGAAAGATTAAAGGTTGAATTTTCAGGTGAACTGCGCGTATGTGCTGAGCGGGCGCAAAAAAGTGGCCAGCCTGAACTACCCGCAAACCTTCGAGGAGGCTCTGAGGCAAGGGCCTGGCATCCTGCCTAAATTTGCTCCTTACGCTGGGTAAGAATAACGAAATAGAGCGAAATCACGCGCGAAACGAGTGGCAAATGTAATAAAAATTTAATTCTAACAGGCACCTAGTGAATGTGTTCCTATTTATTTACCAAGCGGGCGCGTGCTGCGTCTACATCGTGTTCGTCGCTTCCAACATCAGAAATGTGAGTGCTCGTCTTGTAATCTTTTTTTAATTTGAAGTGCTCAAGCAAAGGAATGCTTCTTAAAAAAGCTAAAAATAAAATTAATCACCTAACAATTAGTTTCATTTAACTTCAATCGTTCATATTAATTTCAATTTATTTTTTACACTTACAGGTGGCGAATTTCCACACGGGTCAAGATACCGAAGTTCAAATCTTCATGTTGTACATACTATTGCCCCTGATTTTGTTGAATTACATCAGGAACCTGAAGTACCTGGTTCCGTTCTCCACACTGGCAAACGCGATCACATTTGCTGGATTCGTGATCACCCTGTACTATGTCTTGAGAGACGGATTGAAAGACGCTGGTGACAGACACATGATCGGCACGTGGGAGGGAATCCCACTGTTTTTTGGCACTGTGCTTTTTGCCCTGGAGGCGATTGGCGTTGTAAGATTTTAATTTTACTTCAAAAAATTTATTTTAAATTCAATTAAAACATTTTAATTTTAATTGGTGACGAAAGTTAGAAAAATCTTATTCAATTTAATTTCATCAACATCGTCTAAATTTTTCCCTTTTTTAGATAATGCCCCTTGAGAACAACATGAAAACCCCGGTATCATTTGGAGGTACGACTGGTGTGCTCAACAGGTCCATGTTCTTCATCATCCTCCTCTACATGGGTCTCGGCCTGCTTGGCTTTTTGCAGTATGGCGACGCGACCAAGGGCTCCATCACGCTCAACTTGCCAGACACGGAAATGTAAGCTGATTTCGTTTCTTTCATTCTCCCCGTTTTTAAAAATGCATCCGTCTTCCAGACTGGGCCAGTCGGTGCAGTTGTTGCTGGCTTTTGCTATTTTTATCACGTACGCGCTTCAGTGTTACGTGGCCATCGACATCGTCTGGAACATTTATCTCTCGCCCCACATCAAGTCAAAGGGCTACCGCATCACCACCGAGTTCGTCGTCAGGACGCTCCTTGTCGTCCTCACTTGTGAGTTTCTAATTTATTAATTCAAACGTTGCCAATACGATTGAGAAATTCAGATGATGCTGCGTGCATTACACTTAAGTCCTACAGGTTGCATAACCTCAAGGTTTAGAACCAAAATTTAACCTTGGTATTTTTTTCTTTACTTATTATTTTCTTGTGAAAAATTAATATTCGGAGAAATGTTGAAAAATTTACCAAGCAAGTTATAGTTTGCCAGAGAGTTCCAGTCAGTTGTATTTAAAAATAGATATTGTGGTTAGAATTTTGGAAGAAATATAACGTAAATAAGAAATATTTTTGCCGCTTCTATTTTTAACTCCATTAGATTGCTTCATATTTTTAAAATCAACAAAATCTCGCTTTTTATAACTTGTGAGATATATTTTTTTATTTCTCCAGGCTATCTTTGAATGGCGTAATTTCTATAAGATGATCCCTAATTTCTGATAAAAAAAATTATATAAAATAAATTAAAACTGTTTCTTGTTTTCAGTCTTGGTTGCGGCAGCTGTGCCTGAATTGGATTTGTTTATTTCCCTGATTGGCGCTTTCACCCTGAGCATTCTCGGCATTGTGCTGCCGGCTGTGATTCAAATGGCCACCTTTGAGGATGAAAGATCCAGCCTCAGACTGGCCAAAAACATATTCCTGATTGTGTTCGGCCTGGTCGGTTTAGTGACGGGCACGTACATCAGCGTCAAAGACATCATTCATGAGTACTTCACACCACATCCCCACTAGAGAAAAACATTCTCGCTTCTGCCTGTGAATCTATCTAATAGGTTTTATTGATAGTTTTATCTCTTTATGTATAAAAATTGAAATTAATAACTACCATGACATTACGAGTTGAAAGGTGGATTCAGGAAATAATTTGAGATTAGTTTTAGTTATTGTGAGCAAAATTTCCTAATTTTAAGTTAGGGTTAATTTTACGCCTGCGAAATGAGTAGACGTTGTTTTACGCTTTGCTATTTGTTAAAACTCCTCATTTGTGACGTATGACGTTGTAGAGAAGAACATATTAGGAAGGAAGAGAGGTGGCTCTTCTGGTCAGTTTTTGATATTTTTGTATTAATTTGAGATGCGTTTTATCATTTTCACCAGTAAATGTGATTCAAAAGACATATTATATCAGCAACTCCTTACTCCAAACAGTGTATTGTTGAATGTACAAACAAAAAACAGCTGGCTTACTGTTAGGACAATAGCCTTGTTAATTAAGACATATTGAAGAAAATAAAAAAATGAAATATTTAAAATAATTGAAGACAAACAAAAAATAGTTTGATTAAATATTTCTGATGATGGTTCAAGTGGCCGGTTTGTCAATTGAACAGATGATGTGATTTCAAATACACTTGACAAGGGTAATTGATTGCATTATCTTCTTCTTCTTGGCCATGTGTTTATCAATACAAATTCATTTGTTCTAGTGAATATTTTAAAATATATTTTGAACTAGCGTCTAAAATTTATATAACACGTACAAGCCTGGCCTACTTAAAGTTCAAAATTTTGAACCAGATAAACATGTGCAATCAAAATAATTTTAATTTTATAATTATTTCTAGAAAGGGAAGAAAAATTACAGCGATAAGCAAGGTGGAAAGTCGTGACAAGGAAAGGCAAAAATTATCAAGCAGGTGTTGCTGCGTTGTCCATCTCCCTTTCTACATACAGCTCATTTTGTTTGCACTTCAAATTATATGCAAGCAGAATAAGCAAGTCAAAAGGATTAGCAGGGGAAATCGAAGCGAGCACTGATAAAGAGGCAAAATATTCAGATTGAATGTGATGACCAATTGCTATAGGTGACGGACATCGCTTCGGACATCACTATCTCTGAGGCAGATGATAGATTGGTGTGGAAATCCTCAGTTCTTTTAATTATTCACCGTTTGGAGTCCAAAGACAGCATTTTTCTTTGCTCTGTAGTGAATTTTGATACAAATAACAACAACCCAAAAGGTACGTAATTTATCTCTGAAACCTTTTCTCAGAAAAGAAAGTTTGAAAAGAGCATATTCACTTATTCAGTTTTGCAATTATACTGCAAAATCTTTCATAAAACTTTTGGAATAAGTGAAAAAAAATATTGAATTGAAGAAGATAGTATAGCATATAGCTGCACATGTTCAATTGTAGTTTTAGTACTTTTTTATTGTTTCCTTTATCAATTTGATGGTTTTATAATTCTTTGAAAAAATGGAAAATAAATGCAATTTTCTCTTTATTTCCTCTAGCTGAATTTTTTTATCGTAATTTCATTTTTCATACTCAATTTAATTCATTACCTTAAGTGCACAGATAAATTAAATCACTTTAACTTTTATACCCTTAATATGTGTCATGTGTGCTTGTTAATGTTATTATTGAATGTGATATGCAAATCAAAATGTTTAAAAGAAGATTAAAATTATCTTCCAATGTCATTCAATCCATCTTAATCAACATAATCTTTTAAAATTTCAATAACGTAACATTTAATCTAAATTCATTTCTCATAAAATGCACAATTTAAATTCTTAATTTTAAGCCCTTTTAAGGCATTTGAAGAATTTTATTATAAGCCTTTTAGTTTAATAAGATGAATTTTGCAAAGAAAACTTTAAATTACCTGAATTCATCTTTAAACGTTATCTTGAAAAAATAAGCTTTTCAGAGTCTTCACACAATTCGCATTTCACTTCAAACCTTTGCACCTTTCCACACATATGAAAATCCATATCAATCAATCAACTGGATTGCCAGACTACACGCATATACGTAATTCATTATCTCTGATTTGATTGAGCCCACGCTTACAAAAGACCCCCGAAATGATAACCGCTTTTCCTATTTGTATTGTCAACTAAGCACGCTCAAAATGCCATACTTCCATAATGTTACGATCAAAGTTCAATTTGCTGAAAAACCCAGCCAAACTTAATAGAATGAATTCGCCACTTAAACTTTAATTACTCCACTCCATATAGGGTTGGCAGCCACTTGAGACACAATGGAATCTGGCGGGAAAATGGAATCTGGCTTGGACAACCCGGCCTTTGTACAAGACAGGTTATAAAATAATAATAATATAAAATAATAAATAACAGCAAAAATAATTTATATGTATTTAAAGTCCCAAAAATGAAAGAAGAAAGTCCAAGGAATCGCTGGCCAGTGCGGATTATGAGCCCTACAGTCAAAGAGTCGTCGCTCTGCCAACATCGTAAGAAAAAATTTAAAATTAAAAATCTAGAAATTCAAGATCATTTTTAATAGAAATCTCGAGACGTTACTGCATCTCGTGAAGGGGAGCATGGGTAGTGGAATCCTGGCAATGCCTAATGCGTTCAAAAACGCGGGATATGCTTTTGGTTTTGTTGCCACAATTGCCATCGGCGTAATTTGTACTTATACAGTTCATCTGCTGGTAAATTTAATTTAACTATATTTTATTAAATGGAATACAAAGAAATTTATTTGACAGGTTGAAAGTTCCTACGCCCTATGCAAAAGGCGGAAAGTGCCGAGCCTCGACTACCCTGAAACTATGATAGAGGCAATGAAGGAAGGTCCTGGGTTCATGCCCAAAATCGCTCCATACGCGGGGTATAATAATAGATTATCCAAATATCAAATGATCCAAAATTTAATATTATATATTTCACATTTCCAGATATATAGTGAATTTCTTCATTTTCTGGTTCCAAGTTGGAACGTGTTGTGTATATTTTGTTTTCATTTCTTCAAATTTGCAACTGGTAATTAAAAAAAAAATATATATTTAAAATGGAAAACCCTGTTTTTACTTTTTTTTCTTTAGGTTTTGAACAACTACACTACTGACGTGATCGACGTTCGACTGTACATGTGCATGATTTTGCTCCCAATTATGTTGCTTAATTGTGTGAGACAACTGAAGTACCTGGCACCGTTCTCCGGACTATCCAACATTCTGATTGTCTCGGGAGTCGGAATAATCCTTTACTTCATTTTCCGCGATGGCCTGCCGGACATTGGAGAGAGAAATTGGATTGGTGAGGCCAGAGGCATTCCGCTTTTCTTTGGAACCGTTTTATTCGCTCTGGAATGCATTGGAGTTGTGAGTGAAAATTTTGTTATTTAAATTAGCAATTCATTCGATAAAATTTTCTAAGATCATGCCTTTGGAGAACAATATGAAATCTCCAAAAAATTTCGGCGGAGCTACAGGTGTTTTCAACCAGGCCATGACGATTATTATTTTTCTGTACACTGGTCTTGGATTGCTCGGATACTTGGAATACGGAGAGAAAATCTTAGGATCAATCACACTCAATCTTCCTGAAGAAGTGTGAGTTTTTACGGTTTTTACTATCTCAATTTATATATTTATTTTCAAAAATATTGACCGATTAGCCGCACTTTTAGTTGCAAATGTTTATTGATTTTTAAGATTATCAAAAAGAAACTTCTGAATATAAAATTTTATTTTAAGATATGATGGCATGTTAGCATAATTGATCATCATCTGCCTAGCATACCGCTAAAATCGAAATTATAGTTTTTTTTTATAAAAATAAAGCTGAACAAAGTTTCCAAAATATTAGTTAGCAATTTCTTGTGAACTGCATAACTTTTGAAGTAATTATAAGGTCATTTAGACCTAAAATAAAAGCCTGTTCCTCTCATTTAAATCACACATTAGTAATTATAATCATTAATTTTCCACAGGTTGTCACAGGTGGTGCAGATAATGATGGCTTTGGCAATATTCCTCACCTACCCCCTTCAGTGCTACGTGGCTGTAGATATACTTTGGACCACCTACATTTCCCCCAAAGTTGATAACAAGAAGTATCGACTTTTTGGCGAATACGGAGTTCGATGTGGCATAGTTCTCTTAACATGTGGGTGTTTCTTATAATAATCTCAGTCACTCTAATCTACCCTTTACCCTTGATTTCATCAGTCGGTCTGGCGGTTGCCATTCCCAACCTGGAGCTGTTCATTTCGCTTGTGGGCGCCCTTTCTTTGAGCGTCGTCGGGATCATTCTTCCTCCGATCATCGCATTCGCCACTTTCAAGCACCAGAGACGAGGCTGGAGAGTGTTTAAAAACATAGCAATAGTAATTTTTGGTATTCTGGGCATGATCACCGGCACTTATGTCAGCATTGTTGACATTATTGAGAGTTTGTTTTAAATTATTTTCAAAAAATAAGTTTAAAAGATTGACTTGTGAAAAATTTTAAATTGTTTCGAACAAATATATAAATTTGAAAGTTATTTTAACTCAATTATTTTGTAAAGAGATCCAACCTGAAGTTTTGAGGTGAAGCTATACACGGATTTTATTTTACCTGCGATTTATTGAGGTGATAATATAAACTTTGTTTGCATTTACATATTTTTAATGAATTTTTCTGGCTGCGAATTTGAGGGCTTCTTGTCAGAAATTTTCCATTATAATGCTGACTAAATTTATTACTTTCTCGTTAGAAATGATATCTTCTGTCAATTGCACACACAAATATCCCGCTATCAAACTTAATAAGACCGTTTCAAAGCCCGCCCTCCACCTTCAATAACACAAAAATTATTTTCTGCCGCTTCAAGCTTTGCCGTTTGCTTTCAAGCATGTGTACTGCTTGCACGTGATATGTATATCAAGGCAATAAAATTTATAGAGTCCAAAATCCAGAACTCCTTTTTACAGGCTTTGTAAAAACGATCAAAGGTTGCTTTTTTGCAAGATGATGGTAACACAATTGATGGTTTTTTACGCAGTCTCTTCCTTTGTTAATCTCTGAGACAGTAAAAATTAGCCATCGGGTTTTATCTAAAAAAAAATTCCGCGTCTGTGTTTGTCTAATGTCCCATCCTTATAGCGTTGGACGTGTTATGTTTTTATTGGTTTCGTCCTTAATAAATTTATTAAAGGGATAATAATATAATTGAAGTGACATGGAGATAAAACCGGAGTGCATGTCTGGAATTGCACTATATAAATAGCGAATTACAAACATTTGCTCGCACTCAATTACTTGCAAGCTCTCATACCTGGCGAAACTGAGATATTTCGCCGCCAAAGGAATGGAAAATGTTTCTTATTCGCAGCTCGGGCAGCAAGAAAGCAAGACGGACCTAAAAGTAAGTGGCGTGGTTTGGGTAATTTATGACCCCGTAATTAATTGATATTAACAATCAACACATTCGCAAAGCTTTGTGTGCGCGGCCTTTGGCTTTATCAGTTTGGTTTTTCATTTCGGGGAGGGAGAAAAAGTCATTTCGGAACTCTAAAGTCTTCCGACGATTTTGTTCTGGCCTAACCAAGCGCAGGGTAGGATGGACGACGGCAGGAAGAAAACCTACACCTTGGAGCAGCCACCACAGACAAACTCCTTGAATTCTAGGTAAAATCAAAATATTTGGCGAATTTAAATTTAGTTGATAATGAAAAACTTAAGGTTCAATCTGAATTAGTTTAGAGGTTAATTAATTTTAATACCCTGAGCACAAAAATCTTTTAATATTAGCAAGTTTATTGACTGCTGTTGTATTCATCTTCAATTGAAGTTAATTATTCAAGTAAATGTTGTTTAATTTTTATTTGAATGCAATTAAGAAATATAAATTTAACTGTCTGCAATAAATTAAAAAGAAAAATTTTAATTTTTATGATCAGTAAAGATTAAAGAAGCCACCAATTTGTAAACAACTTTTTATTTTTAGTGCAAGTTCGCAAAAAGAGAGTTTGAGTTATGATTCGGCTGGGAGCGAATACGACCCCTACATGCACAGAGATGTCCATCTCCCGACAAAGTAAGATCAAAGCGTCCAAAATTACCGAACGCTCTTTAAATATTTAAGTGTCCGTTTGGCAGTAATTTGGAAACGCTGCTGCACGTCATCAAAGGGATCATGGGAAGTGGCATTCTCGCGATGCCAGACGCGTTCAAAAATGCTGGGTACGCGTTCGGCTTTTTTGCAACCATTGTCATCGGCATCATTCAGTCCTACTGCGTTCACCAATTGGTAATAGGAATTTTTAACAAAAATTTGTATACTGATTTGAATAATTTCCAATAAAGGTGCGCAGCGCGTACATTTTAAGTGTTAGGAAAAAGGTGCCTAGCATGACTTACCCTGAGACGGCGCGAGAGGCCATGCTAGGTGGTCCGAGGTGGATGACCAAACTCGCACCTTATGCAAGGTGATTAATAATTCAATCCTCATTTTAAAATACATCCACAACCTCAACAAAATTATTGCTTAAAAATATAAGTAAAAAGGATGTGAATTCAACTGGAATAAGTCTGAATTTGTAAAATATGGCTTCATCTGTAATGGATCTTTTTCCAATTTGAAAAATTTTTGTATTGATTTCTGTAAAAAAATTAATTTCAGCCCAGTGGTGAACATATTCGTTTTTGCTTTCCAACTGGGAACCTGCTGCGTCTATTTTGTGTTCATCTCTTCAAACATCAAACGGGTAATTTTAATTATAATAAATTATGAATCACTTTAAAATAATTTTTTGAATGAAGCTAAAATGAGATTCATAAATTCTAATAACAATAATATTTGTATTTAATTTTTTTTTTTTTTTAGGTCTGCGATATTTATTTTGATCCGATTGACGTTCGCATCTACATGTGCTTTGTTCTTGGCCCTATCATTCTGATCAATTTGGTTCGAAATCTCAAATATCTTGCTCCGTTTTCCGCTCTGTCGAACCTGACGATTGTGTCTGGTTTGAGCATCATTCTGTACTACGTGTTTAGAGACGGCCTGCCGCCGCTGGAGGAAAGGCAAGCAGTAGGAGATGCGAAAGGAATTCCTCTGTTCTTTGGCACCGTCCTTTTTGCATTAACGTGCATCGGCATGGTACAATATTATCTTAAATAAATTAATTTATTAAATTAAAATTATAAAATCAGATAATGCCCTTGGAAAATAACATGAAGACGCCGAAGCGTTTTGGAGGCACAACTGGTGTATTTAACCGAGCAATGATTGTCATCATGATTATTTACACTGGTTTTGGTTTGCTTGGATTCCTCAAGTACGGCCCTGATGTGCAAGGGTCAATCACCCTTAATTTACCTGCTGATGAAAAGTATACACCTTTTTTTTATTTTAAATTACTTATCATTTTGGATTACTTCAAACAAAAATAATTTTATCAAAATATATAAAGCGCATTCATTTAAAATTTGACTGGAAATTACTTTCCAGATTAGCACAAGCCGTGCAACTTATGATCGCAGTGGCTGTTTTCATGACGTACCCCTTGCAGTGTTATGTAGCGATTGACATTCTTTGGACGCAAACGTGGCAGCCAAAATTGATGAAAAGGAAGGTCAAATACCTCCTTCCTTATGAAATAGGCGTCAGAGTTTTGTTGGTCTTAATTCCGTGTATGTTTTTTAAAGTTGTTTTTTTTATCAATAATTATGTATTAATTTTTATATTTTTAGTTGGACTGGCAGTTGCGATTCCGAATCTGGAGTTGTTTATTTCTTTAGTCGGCGCCCTCACACTGAGCATTGTGGCAATCGCTTTGCCACCAATCATCGAAATTGCAACTTTCGAGCACCAGCGCAGAGGCTGGAGACTAATTAAAAATATTGCTCTCTTCTTGTTTGGACTTTTAGGTTTAGTAACCGGAACTGCGATTAGTGTGATTGACATTGTTAATCGCCTTTTCACATAAGGGTTTTTTTGTGCGATCATTATAATTAAAAATCTTATCTCGATATGGCTCCTTTCGTAATTAATGTTTTAATCAAGGAGGTTTTAATCCCCCAAAACACAAAGATATGTGAACAGAATTTCTGAGCATGCTGGTACTTGCCATTTAGTCATCCTTTTTGCCCAGCAGAAAGATTTCATCAGGAAAACAGGAGACCTGGTGATCGTAGACGACCTCCTGTTTGACTCCGAAGGGGATCGATTCGAGGAACTCTTTGGCCTCGTTTTTCTCCTCAAATCCAGTAGCTTCCTTCCAATCGAGGATCCTAATAAGCTCCGCCTCAACGGCAGACTCCTCTTCACTGGACTGCTTGGCGTCCGTGTTTTTGTCCTTGACCTGGGCAAAGTTCAGCTCCAAGGGAAGTTCCTTCAATCCGTCCAAAGGAGTCACAGTGCACAAACGAGGCACAGGCTGCGAGCAGAAGGTGCAGTGTGAATTTTTGGAGGTCGAAAAGCCGCAGTGGATACAGAAGGTCATCGACTTGTCGGTGAGCATCCGTGGCTGGAACTTGACGCTGTGTGAGTGTGGAGGGTCGGCCGCGGCTTGAGCTTCAACCAAGAAAGTTTCGCATTTTGCACTAAGATCTTTGAAGCACTCGGCACACCTCGGAGCCTTTGGCACAAATGAAATGCAGCCAGTGCAGAAAGCCATGATCCCCAGTCTAATAAGAGGAGTCTAAAAAAATATGTTGTTTCAAAATTGAATAGATATGTAAAAAATACATACTGGAGAGGTCAGAATGGGTCTCGTTTCATCTAGAGCAGGGTGTTTGAAGCTTGATTTTGGGAAAATAGCCAAGGATGAGGGTAAGATTTCAGCATGGCAGTTAGAGCACCTGTTGAAGTCCCAACTCCAGGAGAAACAAGTTTCACATTGGACAACTCCCTTCTCTCTGTACCTAGGCTCCTAAAAATTATAATTAAAAATAGTTAATTATTAATTCACAATAATTTAGTTTTAGCGACATGCATTTATGAAAGAAAAATAAATTACATACATAGTTTCGAGGCAACTCAGTCACCATCTCTTGCCTCTCCTTTTTTGTAATGCTGCCAGAGTTGACAAGAGGATCTTCACGAGTTAAAGAGTCGGCCTTGAACCGGCCTAGGATGACCTTGCCCTGCAAATTTCTCCCTTTTCTTCCAGACTCCCTGCTAAGGATGGTGATTTTGACAACAGACGGAATCCGCAGCCCGCAGTGGATGCACTTCTGCTTGTCTGTTGTAAATTCACACTGAGGGCACACCATGTAGACTTTGTTGACCATTCTTGGAGTGAATGGCACCAAGATCTCGTTTTTCTCATTTTGGGTCAATTTGGTGTTTCTGAAGCTAACATTGATGGCAACATAATTACGCTGTTTTTCGCCGCAGTGTTCACATTGGCGCAAATTCTTGCTGTAGTTTTTGCACTCTTGGCAGACGGACATTTTGCCTGGCCTCAAATATGGGATCTAGATTTTCAGAATTAACAAATAAGACTTTTTTTTAAATCTTCTTTCACTTACTGGAATGGGGTCATAATTGGGTTTAGCAGGTCCAAAGCCAACACCGTAGAGGCTGTCAGCCTGAAGAGGCACAAGATGTCTGTTCTTAGGCAGTTGCCTCAAGCAGTTGGAGCAGCGCATGAGGTCAAAGGACAGAGCAAGGCACCACAAACAGGTAGTCAATGAGTTTTCTTTGAAAACTGGTACCTAAATGAAAACAAAAATATCACTGTTGTCTACAAACGAAAATAGTTTTAATTGATTTTTACATATTTTGGAGGATAGGTTGAAACCACACCATCAATCAGTTCAGACTTGACAGGCCATGTAAAGTTGAGGACGTTTCCACTTTTGCCGTCTGAAGTGATGATCACAACCTTAGGAATTTGACCCTTGCAGTGAACACAAGTTTTGGAGCCAGAAATGGTGCTCAAGCAACAATGTGGGCACTCAATGAATTTCGTTCCCACTTTCCTTGGTTTGAAATCAACTCTCTGTTAATAAAAATCATTTTTATAAATATCATATTTTGTATCCTATTAATTTTTCTTACCAAGCTGTTGCTGGTTTTGGCACCCTGGACAGTTTCTGGTGAGAACTCAATGTGGAAGCAATTCAAAGGCTCTTTAATTGTGGCATCACAATTGTCACAAATTTCTAAATCCAGAGAGAAGTAAAAGCAGGAGGAGCAGAAGACTGCAACACCTTCTTTGTAGCATGGAATCTAAGATAATAACCGCAAAATAAATTTATAAAAGTTGGATAAATTGAGATGAGACATACAGGAGGAGGGTGGAAAATAGGTCTGGCTTTGTCCACCACAGGATCAACATTTTCATAATTCTTGACGGTGAGCAACCTTGCCCCAGCAGGCACCATTCGCTTGCAGTTGGAGCACATTTTGGTGTCCCAAGAAAATTCCTGACACCAATAGCAACTGTACAGCTTGCAGAATTTGTAGCCTGGGACCTATTTAAAATTTATAAAAAAAAAATCAAAGTTTAATGCAACTTTTGATACATACCCAGTTTTTTAGAAGAGCATTTTCCACCTCTTCAGGTTCTGTCTGCTTAGTCCAAGAGCTCAACCTTTTGATAGAACCAACAGCCTCTGCTGTCATTTTGCTGATGGAAAAATTGTTGCCATTCTTTTTGTCATCATTTTTCCCTTCTGCCTGCAACTTGGACCTTTTGGTACTTTTCACTTCTGAAAAAAAATAATAAATCACAAATCGAGAGAAAAAGTTTTACATTGCTGGCAAAATGCATGAAAAATTGAGTGGTGAAGAGGGAGCGAAAACGAAAAAACCAAACCATTAACTTTGCAGGACATCGTCGCGTTTTCAATCTTCTTTGGCCTGCCGCGTTTCTTTGCCTGCAGAAACACGACATTGCCTGCTGTTCTTGTGTTGTTCGATGCCGTTTGGTCCATAATTTGAAAATAATTTCAAACGACAACTAGACCAGGACTGGAAGTTGAGAGGAAGTTCGATGGGTGGATGATGGGAGATAAGAAATTAAGAATCTTTAAAAATAGTCGACCACCGTGAAATCCTCACTTGCGCAAATTTTAGCAAATCCACAGGCCCACAGGGAGCACAGAACAGCCAAGATATGACCTTGAAAAACGTGAGAAATACAAACTGAATTTAACGAAAAGATTAACAGCATTAACACGATTGAAGACCATCAAGATAGATTTAGGATTTGGTCACCAAAAAGAAAAGAAGGAACGTGTGTGGAGTGGACTGAGCTGGTTTAGGCGGAGGGCGGAGGATGGGAGCGGGGAGCGCATTACATGCGCAATAAAATTGAAAAAAGGGGGAAATGGGTAAAAACGTTGGCAATAAATACACAGATCATGTAAAATTGTATGTATTGCTGTTTACTGACATAGAATTACCATAGGACTGGGACTTAAAATTTAGAGCTGATTTGATATTTTTCATTGGAAGCTAATAATTTAATTATAAAATTCTTTTTTGTAAAACTTACAATTTGATTAAAAATTTATTTGGGAGGTATTTATTTTGTTTGTTTTATTGAAATGCTGCGATATTCATAACATAATAATATTATTTAATCATGTCTAAATTTCTAAAAATTATATCATGATCTAGATTAATTATTATTATTTTATTTAAAAAATATATAATTAAAAAAAAAATTGTGATGGGGAGGGATGCACACTTTGGGCTACACTCAAATCCCTTTAAAAGTCACTGCTATATTAAATGATTATCATATCGATACAACATTTAAAAAAAAATGAAAATTACATTATACTTTTCAAAAGATTTTATTAAGAATTTAAATTTGGCTTTTCCTTGTTGAGGTTTTTTAGATATTTTATTGTTTCGTTGAAAAAAAAAATAATTATTGTACATCGTACAGCTTTGAAAAAATTCTCGCCACAAAAAGTTGGTTGAGAAATTTAAAAAAAAAACACCATAAGAAATCAACTATTGTGGAATTCCTTGACTACAAAACAAAAACAAAAAATAATAATAATTTTTCACTTTTCATTTCAATTCTATTCAGTAATCAGCCCACAAATTAATTCTGACACCGTTTCAGTTTTGGGTTACATCACATCATACTTCAAGCACTAACATTTTTCATAATTCCTCATGCTTTTTGTAAGATGCGCATTGTAGCGTTTATTGTTCATGTCAATCATGTCCGTTCTTGTATAATGTACAGAACTTTACATAACGCGCGCAAACGAGAGCACCAAAACTTGACAGTGTAACTGCGGCCAATAGCGGAACGAGCAGTGGAACGAAAAAGCCCGAAGTTTGCATTCAAATCCGCGAAGGGTGTGGCTAGGTGATTTATAAAGGAGTTTGCAAAATTTAAACACGATCTCTGTATAATCAAGTATAAAATTAATTAAAATATATAAAATTTTGCTTTTCAATTTATAAATGAAAAGTTTTTATTTTTAAATTAATTAAAAAATTTACTAATGCCTGTAATGCTAGTTTTTTATGAGAAGTCTAGTACTCCTGTGTAAAACACCCTAGCAGATGCCTGCGCGACCAGTTGCGCGTGAACAAACATGGCAGCCTGGATGTCGGACTCGGCGCTCGTTTCGTGAACAAAATTCAGTCCAGCGCCTCGCCATGTCACGCTTGGCTGACTATTTCGTGATCGTCGGCTACGACCATGAGAAAGAGAGTAAGTATTGGCTCGCAACGCTGAGATTCGGCCGCCGACGGCGTCAGACACGACCCCGTCGGCAGCTGTTTGTGACATTGACTTTGACTCCTGTCACAGCAGACAGCGAACCGGACCTTCCTTATCCGCGCGAATTGCTCCGTCGAATTTTTATCTAGATACTCCACTTTTTTTTCTTGCTTCGCCGTTTCCTTGTTTACCGGAACGGAATGATGTAGATAATTTTTGCGTCGAATAAATCTGCTTTCACTTTTATGTTATTTTAAAGTATGACGGATTGTGTATATTATTGGATTGTGTTGATGTAATCGAGCAAAAAATGCAGTGAAAGACACTCAACACAACCCGCATTATAAATCTCTCTTAATCTGCGGTCACTTGAACTCCGAACCGGAAAGTAATGTTATTAGTCACGCCGGCGATGACACAACTGGTGTTATTATTTCTTGAAAAATCCTTCAATCCAGCGTTGTTTTTCACGTGTGTTACTTTTTGCAGGAAGCGGCATCAGCAGTGGGGTCATTTTGCAGAGATTCCCAGAAAAAGACTGGCCGGACACACCGTTCATTGACGGAATAGAATGGGTAATAATTTAAATCCTAAATTTTTGAAGCAAAAATTTTCTAAATTTTTTTACATTTTTGTCAAAATTTATTCAAAAAATTTTATTTTTCAGTTTTGCCAACCCCAAGGTTGGTCTCTCTCATCAGAGCGACAAGAGCCGAAGTTCTTTGTTTACGTCTTGACAGACATCGACTGCAACAGACACTACTGTGCGTGCTTGTGCTTCAATGAGACTGTGTCCATTACACCCAGCAAACCCGCTGACGAAGTGAGCATTTCTTTCCTCGTCTTCTTTTCTCTTCTTAATTAATTTCTTTTGTTTGACTTAAACCGCATTCCTTAAGAGATATCTTAGAACCTTTTTTAATTACTCCAAGGTACAAATTTTATTTAAACCTTCCATTCTTCTTTATCATGCTTTTTAATTCCATTGAATTAATTGTTGATATTCTTATTATTGTATTTTTCGAATAGGAAGAGGACAATGTAGAGCTTGAAAGCAATAGGCGGGGAGGCTCACTGACCCGAAACATCCCTGCCATCACCCACCACAGCATTATGTATGCGCCAAAGTGCCTCGTCCTGGTCTCCAGACTCGACTACACAGAAACCTTTAGAGTAATTTTAGTTTAAAATTACATAATTTGTCAATATTTAAAATTTCCAAACAGAACTGCCTGGGCGTGATTTACACAGCGTTCCTCAACGACCCAGGCTCAAATGACTCGAGCATGCCCCTTGAGACTTTGGTCGGCAATATTCTTGGCTGCGTCCAAGTTCCTCCTCCCGGTGGACCTCAAGTCCGCTTCAGCATTGGTGCCGGCGACCGACAGGCCCTCCAACCTCCACTCAGTGCCACCCTGCCTGTCACAGGCTCCTCAGTCAGCCTCTTGTTCCACCAGTTTGGTAAACAAATTCCTGAAGCTGGAAATATGGATTCGGTGTTAATTTAATTTTTTATCTAGGCATTCGAAATGTGCTATCTTTGCTGTGTGCCATCATGACCGAGCACAAAATCCTGTTCCACTCAAAGAGTTACTCTCGCCTAACAGAGGGTTGCCGTGCTCTGATCGCCCTCATGTACCCTTTTAAGCAAAGCCATGTCTACATTCCCCTGCTACCTGCCAACCTGCTCGAGGTTCTTTCCACACCAACCCCATTCCTTATGGGTATTCACTCCTCATTAAAAGGAGAAATCATTGATCTGGTGAGTAAATTATTTTTCGATCCGATAATTAAATTTAATAAAAAAATCACAATTTATCACAAATTATTTTTACAAATACAATGAATTTATTGTTCTAGGCTGATGTTATTGTTGCCGACATGGACGGTGGCGCCCTGACTGTCCCTGAAGGTCTGCACCTTCCTCTTTTGCCTGAGCCACTGCTGACCCAAACTCAGGACGCTCTGATGCTGGTGCTGCAGCCTGAGTTGAGCATTTCCGACCTGGCATTTGCCCCCGTAGCACAGCGACCGCACTCGAGTCAGACAATGCTAGACAAAGAGCTGCGGGCCGTGTTCATGCGCACCCTGGCCAACTTGCTGCAGGGCTACCGCAGCTGCTTGACCATAATTCGAATCCACCCTAAGCCCCTGATCACATTCAATAAGGCTGCCTTCCTGAGTGAACGAGGCCTGACCGAGTGCGACTTTACCACCAGACTGCTCGACTGCATGTTTTATACAGGGTTTGTGCAAGAACGAGGGCCCCCGTGGAGGGTGTGTGACCTTTGGGATGAACTTTATAGCAACCTGGGAGAGCAACTGAGGCAGGAGGGGCAGGACCCCAGCCTCGTTCTCACTCACATACAGGTGAATATTTTATTGAAATTTTCTTCCTTCTCATTTTAAATCGTTGGAAGTTGGTATATTTGCGTAGAGACACACTCGCAATCAGGTTGATATTTTTGTCTAACTAGTTTTGTCCCCAATAAAGAGAAGCGAGAAAAAATTATTTGCTGGCGGCAAGACAAGCGTTGCGGTTTGTGGTCTGAAAGCTTTCCCTTGTAGGGATCACTTTACCCAGCATGGGAATCAAAATCGCGTTTGCTTCTACTGTTACAATGCAATGCCAACAGCTCGTTTTACAAACTGGATAAACTTTTGACGCAATTTTTAATTATTTATTTAACCATGTGGATTAGAAACGCTGCTCGCAACCGCAGTGAACCACTACTTCCTCCCGATGCCTCAATAGCTCTCTGTTTTTTTCTTTATCTGCGTTGGACATATGTTTCTGTTGACTCACTACTATGCAGATAAGCACTATCTACAGGAATCCAGAAAGAGAAGCTCAAGTGTAAAACCATTCAGTGATTAGCCAGCTGCTCGATCAATTGACGAGACCCATTAAAGGCCAATCAGACATCTCGGCACGCCGTGCATTCCAATTATCATTGCAGTTGACAGCTGCTGCCGTGCTTGAACAATAATTCACATACATATCAGTACTTGTGGGTACATCATGTTTAGATCAAAGTACACAGTATAGGAATTAATGAAAAAAATAATAAAATAGAAAAAATTAATCTTTTTAATAATGCTTTTTTTAGTGTATCATAAAAATAGATGAGCTTTTGACTAATTTTATATTAAACGTGATTATATATATCTCTTCAAAAGTTTTTTAATTTAATTTTTTCAAATGAGAATTTGGAATTTCGTTAGCTTTGTCAAACTGTAGAAAATGTAAAAAGCTAGGGTATGTTTTAAATTTTTATGTTATTTTCCAGGACTTGGCAAAGAAGTTGCACGTCAATGAGAACCCAAACCCGCAGCCCTATGTTCAAAAAATTGGCCGACCCCCTGAAGGCGCCTCTTCCAGAATTCACCAACCAAAGTTTCCATTGCTCTCGTCTGAAAACGTTCAAAAAATCATTGATGATGAGCTTACCAAATTCAGTCTGAAGTCGAGGTTTGTCAATTTTTGCTGCCCTAATTGCTAGCTAATTTGTTTTTTATCTTCTTTTCCCCACTCATTCTTGCTAAACTGTGACTCGTGTGTTCCATGCTCTCTCATCGCTTTGCACTCTCAAAAATAGCACTGGTGAACTGGGCTGGTAAGCAAGTTTTAAATCTGCTTCAGCCTTATACTGTTCTCTGTAGCACTTTTAACATCTTGTATTTTAATCCTCGTAACTGATTCATAATTCCGTGCAGGCTGGACTCAATGCGCACAAGTCAGCCAAGAATCGTTCCAATGGGTGCTTTGGTCAGCAACATCCAGGACTCCAATAGGCAGATAATAACAAACTCGGCCAGAAGATTAGAAGTATTAATTTTCACTTTATTTGGAATAAAAATTTAAAGTACTTATTTCTTCCAGGTTTTGAAAAATTGCATTAATTGCATTTTTGAAAACAAAATCTCTGATGCTAGAAAAACGTTCCCAGCAGTATTAAGGGCGCTCAAGGCAAAGCAGGCTCGACTGGCTCTCTGCACAGAACTTTCCCAGCATGTGTTGGGGAACAAAGCCATGCTTGAACACCAGCAGTTTGACCTGATTGTCAGGTTGATGAATTGTGCCCTGCAAGATGACTCGGTTATGGACGGACACGGTGTAGCTGCAGCTCTTCTTCCTCTGGCAACGGCATTTTGCCGGAAACTCTGCACCGGTGTTATACAGTTTGCCTACACTTGCATCCAGGACCACAAAATATGGAAGAACCAACTGTTCTGGGAGTGTTCATTTTACCACGATGTGCAGAAGGACATCAAAGCTTTGTACCTGAGCAAACCCGAGGCATTTAGTAACAGCCCAATAATGAGGAGATCCATGGAAAGAGAGCCTCCACTCAGTCCGGTTCGTTCAATGATTAAAATATTTAAAACTTTACATCTATTCGCATTTTTTAGGGCAAGGAATATCCTTGGAAGGACCGTAGGTCACCTTACGTCAGACAGATTGAACCTTCGGCATTGGAAATTGCAGCTGAACAAATGAGAGTTTGGGGAAACTTTGATCCTGGTAAGTCTAGATCATATGTAAAAAGTGCAGCCTTATTCAAATTTAATAGATTTAAAGGGCAGATTATGTGTAATAAAAAAATCACTTAAAATAGCCTTACTTACAGAGAAACAGAAGGAATACATTAGCAGCGAAGAGTCGACACTTTACAGTCAAGCAATACATTATGCAAACCGCATGGTTTACCTTCTGGTACCTCTTGACATAGGAGCCAAGTCCCAACACAACCACCGTGATAGACATCACGGGGACGACGACGACCGTGCCAGCAACAGCATCACAAATAGCATGATTGAGAGTGACAGCCTGGATGCCGAGTCCGGCTTTGAGGAGCAGGACCCAAGTGAAATTGGCAACAATGTTATTAAGACAGTCACTCGGTTTGTGGACAAAGTCAGCACTGAGGGTAATGTAAGTGCCGAGCACATCAGGAGCCTTCACCAGATGATCCCCGGCGTGGTTCACATGCATGTCGAGACACTTGAAGCTGTTCACAGAGAGTCGAAGAGACTTCCTCCTGTGCAAAAGGTGAATTTCATTGAAAATATTCACAAATTTATTCACATTTTGTTCATTTCAAGCCTAAAATCATGGAGCCCACTATGCTGCCTGGAGAAATGCCAATCGTTGAGAATCTCCGAGTATTCCTTCTTCCTGATGGCAGAGAGGACCCTAGTGGTGCCCTTGGTGGTCCTACCTTGCTTCCAGCAGAGGGAGCTCTGTTTCTTACAAATTACCGTGTAGTGTTCCGAGGCACACCATGTGATCCATATGGTATTTAAATGTTATTTTACCTTTGTGGTCAATCTTAATGTAATCAATTAACATTTTTAAGTTTCCGAGCATGTAATTGTACGTGCATTCCCAATCACCACTCTGACCAAGGAGAAGAGGATAAGTGGTGTTCACATTCAATCCAGTTTGGACCAAATGGTGCAAGAGGGTCTTCAATTGCGTTCGTGCACCTTCCAGCTAATCAAAGTGGCCTTCGATGAGGAGGTGACCACGGAAATGATCGAGGCCTTCCGAAAGTCTCTGCACAAAGCCAAAAACCCGATGCACCCATTCCAGTACTTTGCCTTAAATGGTCACGCCATACCAGAGACGATTGTCAAAGATAAGGAAAAGAATGCGACTTTGAAGTAAAACAACCTTTCAAAGGAGTTTTAAATAAATTACCAATCTATTTATTTCAGGGGTTTTGCCAAGAAAACACTCTTGAAAACAGCACGGAAAGCTGGATTGAAGTCGAAGAGCACATCAAAAAAGCAGAGGTATGTTCTGCCCAACATGGGAGGAAACAATAACAAGTACCTGACCTCACCTAGCCGCATGAGCCTGCCTCCAAATGGCTTTGACCTTAGCGAGTACCCTGAAGAAGATAACGAGTCAAGTAAGTTATGAATAATACACGAAATATGCATCTTTTTGGAGAGAAAATAGATTTTATTCAGATAGTTAGCTTAGCTTAACTAACAAAATCTTTGCTCTTCACCTTTTGCTTACCTCAGGAGAAGATCGTGAGTATTTTGCTTAGGCTGTTTAGCTGGAATGTTTTAAAATTTTAAGCCTCTCTTGTTCTTTAATTAATTATGACTATTTTATATATTGTGTTAATTAATTTTATGAATTTTAGTTCTGGAAGAAATGGATTTGGTGCTTCCCTCTGGCTCTCCAGCACTGTCTGATGCAAAAACCCTTGAGCGCCTTTCTGAAAGGAGCTACGTTCGAGATTGGAGCCGTCTAGGCTTCTGTTCCGATTCATCAACCTCTGTCCTCAGCAACGGTACCATGAACCGGCAGAGGACTGACCCTTTCAGGATCACCACTGTCAATCATGCTCACATGGTGTGCTATAGGTAAAAGAGAATACCATTGGTGGGTTTTAGTTTTAATTCTAATTTTCTACAGCTATCCGGCAATGCTTGTTGTTCCCTACAATGTGTCCGACGATAGTATTAGGCGATTGACTAGGTGCCACAGAGGATCAAGAATCCCTGTTATTACATGGAGACACCCCAGGACCAAAGCTTTGCTTCTTAGAGGCTCCAGTTTCCATGGTAAAGGCGTGATTGGCATGTTCAAAGGCCACCAAGCAACTACAGGTATTTATACTTAAGTAGAACGTATTTCCCCCTCGATTAGATTATTTACTTATTTTTAATTTTGTTTGGTGTTGACTTTCTATGTTATATTTTTGTTACGTTATATCACGTGACATTAAAAAACTTTGAATATTACAGTTTCTACTTCCGAGTCTGTTGCTTCTAATATCGAGCAGGAAAAATTCTTGAATTCTATCGTGCAAGCAACACCGTCTGCATTTTTGAAACAAGGTTCTTCAGCTTGGGGAATGACAGAAAGCAGCTTGAGCATTGATTCGCTCCTCATTACTGTTGACCCTGAACACCACTCAATTCACGGCACCACTCCTGAGCAAACAAGGAAAACTGCCAGCAATCCATTCAGCAAGATGGTTGCAGGCACCCTTGGGTAAGATTTGAAATCTTCCCATTCTTTCGTTAGAATCGGTACAATTTTTTACTGAGTAAAATATTTTTATTTCTGTTTATTTCAGACGCAAAAGTGGAGGCAAAACAGCTTCAATGGCTTTTGGTAGGTGGGGTTCTTTGAAGGATAGGCGCCAGAGCTCACAAGCCTCTCTTCCAACCCTAACAGTTCCTCCGAAGAGCTCGCAGAGATACTCAACCGACTCAGACTCTGGCACCGAGTGCGTTCACACCCTGCAAAGAGCAGCCCTTTACATTTTCGGAGAGAAGTCTCAAATGAAGGTAAATTAACAATGTGTTTGGTGCTCCAACCAAGAAAAATTAAAATACTCCTACTCTGACTCTCTCCCTACAGGATACTAACTAACATGAACCTAACTAAATTTATCCCAACATTCTCATAAATTCAGAACTTAAAATCAAAATTTTACTGGAGAATTTGCAAATTTTTAAACTTTGTCTATTATAGGGTGTCAAAACAGACTCTGGGCAGAAGATCGACTTTATTCCTGTAGAGTATTTTGAGGTTAAAAACACTAAGAACGCATTCAAGAAGCTCATGCGCGCTTGTGTACCGAGTTCTGTATCTTCTGAGCCCGACCAGACTTTTGCCAAATTGATCGAAGGTTCAGAGTGGCTGCTGCAGCTACAGGGTGTGATGCAACTGGCTGGTGCTGCAGTTGATCTGCTTGACGTGCAGGGATCCTCTGTGATGATTTGTCTTGAAGACGGCATGGATATCACTGCACAGGTAATCACAAAATTTATCAATAGGAAAAAAGTTAAAAGATTTTACTTCAGATTTCTTCTGTGGCTCAAATCTGCCTTGACCCCTACTACAGAACTCTGGGAGGGTTCAGAGTACTTATTGAAAAGGAGTGGCTTGCTTTTGGCCACAAGTTCGCCCAGCGAAGCACCTTGACCGAGGACAGCGCAGAATCTGGTTTTGCTCCTATTTTCCTTCAATTTCTAGATATAGTTCACCAGGTAATTAACAATTAATATTATGAAAAGAAAATGTAACCTTATGTATTTTTCTAAATAGATCCAGAAGCAGTTTCCTTTGGCATTTGAGTTCAATGATTTCTTCCTCCGGTTCCTGGCGTACCACTATGTCTCATGTAGATTCCGAACATTCCTCTTTGATTCTGAGAGGGAACGAGTTATGAACGGAATCGCAGCTCTCGACGACAAACGTGGCTCGCTGTCTTCTCATTACAAGGGAGTTGACACTGGTTCAGATGATGACTCCTTCTATCCCGGTAAATATTTAAATGCACAAAAAATTTTTACCAAAGCTTAATGGAATCTTTAAAATAATTGAAAAAATTCATATGCTTTTAGTAATACCAAACTTTGAATTTCTGGGTGAGCTTTAAATTTAAAAGTTTCTTTTTAATTAGCTTGCTATTATGTTAATAGGAACTTATACTTAATATTCCGTTATAAATAAAATTTATCAACGTATTATTTGTCTCCAATTCTGATTGAAATAATTTAAGGTGGACGTCTTGCTGGCCAATCTCCTAGCACCCCGAATCTGGGCCAGTCAGTTTTTGATTACATTGAGAAGCAGCACGCCCGTTCACCCATTTTCTACAACTTCTTGTACATGCCCGACTCCGATAACTCAATTTTGAGGCCGCAGTCGCACCTGAGCAGCCTTGAGGTGTGGGAGTATTACCTGGGCGAAGAGCTCTGCCACGGGGCAAGCTACGACCTGGAAATTGTGCAGCAAGATGCAGCCACTGCAGAAGGAGACAAGGAAATTGCTTCTATCAGCTCTGACAGTGGCCGAAGCATGATTAACAAAAATGTTGGCCGGTTGGTCACATTTGGGTAATTAATATAAATTAATGTTTAAGAATTTAAATCACAACTTATAAATTTAGGTATGATGGTGTTCCACAATGCATACCAGACTCCTTCTCTTATTTGCTGGAGGAAACACACCGATGTGAAATTGATCTAGAGAGGCTACCTCAAAAGTGGAGGCAAATTTGGGATAAACTGGAATTGCCACCTACAGACTCATTCAATGTAAGTTTTTATTTTACGAAAAAAATTATTAAACGGTATAAAGATAAAAAGTTATCCTTTTTCAAAATAAAAATATTGAAAGGAAATTAAAAATTCAAGCATTTTCAGAGTCGCCATCAGTCGTTCACTCAGCAGTTAGTTCGTCTGCATGGCCGACTGACGCACAAACGGTCCACCATAGAGATTCTCATGAGAGGCAAGTTGGTGAATGCTGCTCTGGACACAGCCAGTGTGACTGGCAGTGCGGCCAGCAGCACCGTGGGCGCTGTGGCAGCAGCTAGTGGCTACTCTCGGCCGCACCGCTTCGACCACTACGACTTCCGCACACCGAGCTATTGCGACCAATGTTCCAACATTCTGTGGGGACCTGTCAAAACTGGTGTCAAATGCAAGGACTGTGGCTACAGCTGCCACGAAAAGTGTGTCGAGGGCATCACCAAGAATTGCTCCAAGTTCCGGCCAGTGTCCACCGTGGAGAACTCGCACATGCCTGCAGGCAATAAACATGTTGGAGAAGACACCAGATCTGTCAATTCAAGTGATATTTTTTTTTTAATTTGAAAGATACAAAAATAAATTTTTTTGCCATTTTAGATGTTACCCCCTCAAACCAGCAGTATTATGACCAGTACTCCTCAAATGTAGCCGAAAACCGAACACACGAGGGCTATTTGTACAAACGAGGTGCTCTTCTCAAAGGATGGAAGATGCGCTGGTTTGTGCTTGACTCGATAAAGCATCAGCTCAGATACTACGACTGCATGGAAGACACAGCTTGCAAGGGGGTTATTGGTGAGCAAAATTTTTAGATTTGAATTTTAAAACGTAAAAAATCTCCTTTCTTAAGCTCTTTAAAAAAAATAAACAATAGAATATTATTTCAACCCTGAAACCAAATTCATTTCAGATCTGGCAGATGTCGCATCAGTTTTCCAAGCGCCACCTGCACCTGTACCTCCTAAGAAAACGGACGACAAATCTTTCTTTGATGTATGTAAATTAACAACTTTCATTGTATGTTTCTAAAATATTTTGTGTCTGATGCAGGTGAAAACTAGTCGAAGAACCTATAATTTCTGTGCCAGCAACGAAGCTGCAGCTCTAGAGTGGATAGAGAAAATTCAAGCCTGTCTTCAGTAAGCCAGAACTTGCCCACTCTCCTTACAAACAAACTTGTTGTCCTATGTGCTCTGTTGATGATTTTCAGATGCTTTTAAGCTCTCTCACTCTCCTAAGTAATATATTATGATTATTGTTATTGAATGAATTGATTTATAATATGATTACGAACATATCAGCCAAACAAGAATAATGGGGAAATTTAAACCAGGCCACAAATTCACAAGCCAATTTGAATAGGGATTCTTTCGGACGGTTTTCAGCTCAGTGTGGTCACAATAACATGAGGAGACACAATAGTGCTTGTAAGACTGATCTGGGAAATACACACACTTTTTAAAGCATGACAACCGCTGTGGCCAATAAATAATTGTGATAATAAATTTAAACCAACCACACTTCATTACTTCAAGGTGTCGATTATAATTGATTTGGAGGGTCCTGCCCTTTTGTAAATAGAAAGAGCAAAATTACAAGGGATCAAAATTTAAATTCGTATCAATCTAGTGTTTTAAAACACAAAATAATACGGGGCCTCCAAGTTGCATAATTATTTCTTAGTGGATAATCAGGACAATGCATTTAGACGGCAAAATCATCTGGGGCTTTATGAATTCTAATTTTATCTCTGTGGGTTTGGTAACGGAACCTGCTTACCAATTTGTAGTAATTTGATCTATTTAATGGCCAAATTTTTATTAAGGCACTTCATTTGTGCTACTTTCGTAAGCACAAAAAAATTCATGCTGTTTGTAAATAATATTAATTACGTTTGGTTTGAGTGATGTCAAAAATGTTTTTTTTTTTAATTTAAAAACAATACTCATTGAAACGAGTCAAAATTATATTTTATTTTAAACATTGTAGTCAAAGAAATGCCACGGCTCTCTTTTAATCTCTTGTTCATTCCTCTATTAAACAACCCCAATTCCAATCAATGTATCATTAATGGTTTCCACAAAAATTTGAAACGGACAGCAGCCATGTTTCCAACTATATTTATAATTTAATAAGCAGTTTCATATAACACAAGTGCAATTAATTGAAGCTTTTGACGTTCAGACTATTAGTGCTTGTCTCTCACTTTTCTGTGTTTTGTATAATGCATAATGTCACCGTCACTGCAGCAGCAGCAAGAACATTTTTCCAACGTCACCAACAAGAAGATTTTTGCATTGTTCTCGCCATAAGTTGATTGATTTCCATGTCATTTCCTAATAAACTGTAAGATCACAACTTGTTACAAGATCAGAAAATAATCATGTATTTATTTTTAATTCCCTGAAAATATTTTAGCAGTATTTTAATTGAAAATCTTTCCCAAATCAAGATACATCATCTGGACATTTGAACATTAAAAAATAATAGGCAAAGCCTACACAAATTTGAGAGGAAAGATAATGCAAATTTTTAACAAAAGCTTTTGAGGAAAAATTAAATTTTTTATTCTGTGAGTGAAATGTAATAGATTTTTAGTAAAAAATTTATTGAATCTGATATCCTCTTAAATTATGATCTACTCGGATCTACTTTTAACAAAAGACGCATGATGATCGTCTAATTCGCAATTGGTTGACGGTGTTGACACTTTTGAGAAGGACGAGGCTCGGAGGCATGCAGCAGAAAGTGCAACTCGTGCAGAAAGACAAACTCTCTTTGGCGAAAGACAAAGGGCGGCTGGCTGCTTTTCGCGTCGCGTCTCAATAATAAACACAAATATAGACAAGCAGTCTGCGAGCTGCGACGGCACACAAAATAATGCGCTTCTGGCTAATTAAGCCTGTGTTGTGTGTGTGTCTTTTGAGCGCCGCGCCGCCGTCGCTGCGAATTTCTCCGGCAGACGCAAACACTCGACTTGGCTTTAAAATTTTTTACTCCTACGTACACATGTATAGGAAGGCAAACAGGCAGCAGAAAAATGATGCGCCGCATATAAATGTGCACCAGTCAGCGCGAAATTGTGTTGAATAAGAAAAACGCCGAGACGTACGCGAGTTAAGAGCGTGCGGCGCGAATTATCTCTCTCTCGGCACAGCCTCTCGTACAAAATTGTTTTGTCAAACATTCAGTATACATAGAAGACTGCACATCTCGCTCGTGTTACACAGAGCAACTCTTTTCACTCCGCACTTTTTGAGGCGCGTTCGTCTTTCTGCTGATGTTGCAAAATGAACACCTGCACTCGAATAAAGGGAATAAAGAACAGTATAAATTCCGGCCGTGTTTCAAATTCAAATTAAAGCAGCTAGCTCTCTAAGACTGGCATAATATTTAATTATTCAATTTATTAGAATAAGAATTCACAGTAAATTATTATCAAATATAGATTAGATATTAATAGAAAAATATTAAAATGATTAAAATAACACATTTTAAATCAGATCAGGATTAGACATTTTTCTATTTTAAAATTTATTCTGCTCTTGCCATTATAATTTTTTATCCGTATTTTTCTGCAACAAACCTTAATTATACGCGATGCAAAATGCCATCACGCGGTATTTAAAAGACTGCAACATGGAACACAATAGCACCCTCTCTTTTCTCCTCTGCGTGCCATGAAATATTACTCTTTGGTTTTTGTGGCGAATTGCTGAGAACTGCGAGGGGTGCGTGATCGAGAGTGTGTTGATATTTAAGCACATAGCACGATGTATGACGATCCCCCGAAAGCGCGCAGGGGTGAAAGACACCTGTGCATTTCATTGTCTTTCCGCCGCGACTCCGCTTCGTTACATTATGTGAGTCATCGTCTCTTCGAGAGCCGCTCTATGTATCATATAAGCAAGCGCGTTGGCGAAACTGCAGTGTATATGAGAACGGTATTATAACGAAATTCAATGCAAAGAAAAATAGGGGTGTCAGACTGAAAACGATACCAAAAGTGCTGGACAATGAAAAGATTAAGCCTTAAAGATTAAAAATAAAAGAATAAAGAAATGCAGAGGGAGATTTTTATAAATAACTAGAATATTTTATATTTGAAAATTAAATCAAAAGTTTCGTTTCATATATCAAATTAAAAAAAATAATTACACAACGAAGGATAATTTTTATGAATTTCATGAATTTGTAAGCCTAGCTTCGTTCATTCTCCATATGAATTTTTTTCCCATTATTTAAAAAATATATATATTATTTTTCACTCTGGCTGGTGTGTCCGCAGATATATATACCAATTATATACTGTTCTATAATTTTTTCATAAGTGACTAGCAAGGCTAGATTTTATTTAAGGAAGTAAGTAAATATTTTTGTTAAATCAGTTCATTGCTAATTAACCACGAGACAGTCTTAATACGCTTAATACTGTTTTTTTTTTTTTTAAATTATTTTTTCCTACGTCTATGAAAGATTTTTTAATTTTAGTATTTTGCGTTTGATTGGAATTTTCTCCACTCAATATCTGCCAAGATTGCGTAAGTTTTTGGAACCGGGCAGTGTGTGTCCATCTATAATTAATTTCCCTTCCTTTTTTTTTGTATAAATATCTTGTCTATTAGATCGCACCATTAATTATGCCGCGCTGGCCGCGGCTCGCACAAAAACAGGCAGGAACCTGTCTGCGAGCAGATCCAGGGGCGAGATAAGACCATCGCAGCACAGGGAGGAAATAAAAAGAGTGCATTGACGTCGCGACGCGGTGCTTTTTTTGGCGACACGCCATGGCGAATCAAAGGCCGTGTCGGTAAAAATGAAATCAAGTCGCCGACGAGGATTTTTCCAGCGCCTTGTGCAAATAAGAAAACCGTGCTTTTTGATTAATTATCTTTCCCTCTCCTCAAGATGCAGTTTTCAATTTCAATGGGGATTAATTTCGATGTTAATTCAGAACCAGCCTCCCTTTATTATTGAAATTCGAATTGCATCTATGCCAGGTACTTTTATTTGTCGGTGTCGGTAAATGGTTTAAAAAGAAGATAATTCAAGTCTGAAGAGATTGAGCGACATCCGGATGATTTATGATCAGAGTTGGAGGAAAAAGGAAAAGAGACATACAGGGTCTGGTTAAATAAACACAGACCCACCAAAGAGAGAGTCGATCTAAAATCCCTTTGAGTTCTTTGATTAACTTGTACAGAAATATTTGAGAAATTTAAATTTTCATCACTAAATCAAAATATTATATGTTATTATCCCAATATCCCAAAATTTTGCATCCGTTACACATTAATCATTTCTTTAATTTAAATTTAATTTCAGAGTTTGATTAATTACTGCGTAATAATGATGTCATGTTCAGAAAATTTCATTATTTTCTAATTTAAAATTATCCCTCTTCCTTTTTCGATATGTGTCCGAAATTCTCCCTCACCTCCCCTCGCAGAGCAATAAATCAAAAAGTTGTCTCCAAAGTCTCTCTGTACACAGCCAACCCCACGCATCTCATTCTCTTTTTTTCCTGTTTATTCCCTCCCGCTCTGCGCTCTGCAGAGCTTTTTTTGGGGGAAATGCCCTCCACTTTTCCTCCTAATAAAATCTCGGCACCAAAATAAACACCTGTTGGAAATGCACCTTTATGCGTTCGAGACACTCGCGCTCCGAATATATAAAACGAGGAGCGAACCGTTGGGGCCGACAAGAGCACTATATGAACAGCACCTGTGTGCTCGAGAAGCGACGATGATCTTTATTTTATTGTGTATCATTTCACTTCCCCGCACCGAATAAGCTGCTATCGCACGTAGAGATCGTCTTCTGATTGTTAAAACCCGAGAACAAAGTGGATTTCGTCAGACAAGTTCGGGGTAATAAAATGGAAATATAATATTGTCCTGCGTTTTACCTTTAGATTTTCCTTTTACAGTAAAAATTGATTGCATTTAAAAAAGTAATTTTAAACTTCTCAAAAAACCTTTTTTGCGTTTAACAAGTAAATAATTTTTATAGTTTTTTTTTTGTTAAACTTAATTTTAAAATATAATTTTTGTACAAATTTGAATGGGTTTTAATTTTTTATATATTTTTTTAATTCTAGCTCTGCAATGCCAATACAAACAAAATATATTTAAGAAAAAGACATTGACTCTTAGAAATAATAAAATTATTTAAATAATTTGAAATATATAGTGTTTTCATATATTAACTGCTTTTTAAATAGTTTTGGTTTGGCCATTAATAATATTTTGGTAAATTTTTCCATCAATAAAAGATATTTTGTTCCACGTGGTAAATTAATTGTGTGACAGTTGAGCTGAGTTGAACGTTGAACTAGGGGAAGATTTACAACTGCAAAGGTCTAATCTCTCTCTCGTCAGAGCTCAAAGTCGGCTGCAAATTAATCCGAACATTGTTTGACCAGCGACTTGTGTGTTTTTTTCTCTGCGCGAAAGACCAAGGAGCAATTTGCCTGGTCTGTTTGCTCATGGGTGTCGATTCTTAACTGATTTTGGTGGCGGAGGAGGAACGATATGGTCGGGATGGATAGCTTCTTGATTACATTTCATGTTTGTCTTGTGTGCGCAGTGCCCGGCACAAAATAAAAACGCCCCGTCCGGCCGGACAATAAATAAATCTCTCCGGGCGCTTTTCCTTTCTTGTGTGTACTTTGTCAGCCACATGATTTTTTTTCTATCTCTCTCTTTCTTCTTAATTTTTTTTCTCCTCCTCGCCTTTGATGGGGCGTAAAAAGCTGCTGCTGCGTCCAACAAAGGAAGCAGAAGTGCTAAACTCTGTTATTAGGGGTGTCCTTGCTCCCGAGCACAAGGAAAAAACGACAGGCTTATCTCAATTTCACAGAGAGCGGTGATATATTATTTTTTTCCGTCTCTCTCTCCTTGTCTTCTTCTTCTTCGCCTGTCCGGTCCCATCAGCAGTTCTCTGCTGGCCTTGAAATATATAGTCTTTGACACTTCGAGAGAAGTTTAATTTGGCTTATCAACTGGCCACGTGACTTGCTGACCACTTTGATGCCCCTTCAAGAGTAAACAAATTAAATATGCGTTTGTTTGGTGCCGAAAAATAAAATAATCTAGATAGACGACCCAATTCATACAAGAATGAAGCACTGACAAATGTCAAAGAGTTATAATTAGTTGAAAATCATCCTTTTACAAAAATGGTCTCAGCAGTTGCAAATCAGTGAGTATTTTTTTGGACGCACATACAATTTTAATCTCATCCTTATCGACTTTATATTTTTTCTGAATATTCATTTAGGAAGAAAGAATCATTATTTTTCCGCTCAGCTCTTTTGCTTGGAGTGGCAGTTTTGATAATGGTTTTGTGTCACCACGCTGGGAATTGGCGACACATAGAGTGGAGCAGCCAACGTGACCAACACCTACGGAAGCATCCTCATGAAGGACCTTGTACCATAAGCTAAAAAATAAAGCGCGAAAAATATTAATTTAAATTTAACAACTTAATATTTACATTTTTTCATTTTAAATTTCTATACTGCCCCTTCCCAAAAAATTCGTTTCAGATTTCATCATTTTATTTAAAAGTGCAATCAAGTGCAATCTAGTTAAAATATTTCCTTGGTTTATTTTAATATTTAATTTAATTTTTGCGTGGGTAATTTCATTTTAAGTTAAAATTAATTAATCAGATAAATTAGTGAAAGGAGAATATATAGAAATCTCTTTTCATAGTTCAAATAACATATTTATGAATTGGTGAAAAGAATATTCAAATATGTATAATCGCTTCTATTTGTCTTCTTTGATAATTGCCAGAACTTCATCTTCCTCAATATTTGACATTAAATACTGGCTTTATGATTCTTACTGTCTAGCTGGAAAATTTATTTTCATTTTAAATCAAATATATCAAACAGCGCTCTTCTCAAGCAGTATCTTCGAAGAACGAGCAAAATATGTCAGGCGAGCATGATTTGAGTTTGAGCAAAATTCTTCTCAGATATATGTGTGTAAAATGATTGAAAATTAAAGGCTTTTCTGAACACAAATCAATTGTTCCAGCTGGTCTATTCTAGGTTCTTTTGTTGCCTTTACGATCACATGCTACATTTGCTTTTTTAATGATGATTGGTGGCATGAAATGGAAGAAGAGTGGCACAAAAACTACGAAAACAGGCACCACTACAGACACCCTTCCGGCCCTGACAGACCCTGCACCATTCTCTGAATACAAATCGTATATTTAGGAAAGGTGTATTGTTAAAAATATTGATATAGTGATATGAAGAGCTTGATTTATTAATAAATAATGCAAAAGTTATATCAATTAATCACGTGATTAACTTAAAATGTAGCGCTATGGCTAATTTATATTTTTTAATCCAGCTCATAATTTATATTTTTTAATCCAGCTCATAATTTATAAAAGCTGATGTGTTATGCCGAAATTTTGAATGGAAAATATCACATGCTGGGTTTCCTTGAAATCAAATTTATTTGCAGAAAAATAATTTCATCAACAAAGAACACATAATTAATTTTAGATACGCATGCAATTATGGCCAGCCAGAGCGGAAATTTGATTCTTATGTTACGATACAACTTCCATTGATATTTACAATAAGGCCGGCAGTCATGAGTCAATGTGTTAGTCAGGCAACTCGATTGCTATTTTCAAACCATCAATTTGATCAATCATGTCAAACAGGAAAGATTTTTTGAATTGCTCTTCAAATTCATTTGAAAAACATTTGCTTTGAATCAATTGAAGTCTAGGAGCATGTACAGGAAGAAGGCAGATGAACTTCAGCAACTCGAAACAAGTGCTGGGCTCATGTTCACTGCATTCAAATTTAAATTTCTTCAAATTTTGCAAAATGCATCCTGCCACTAGCTGCTCAGTCAATAAAGTCAGTTTAGTGAGAGAAATATTTAAGGAATACGACTTGAATGTCTCTAAGTCTGGTGCAGCCAGTGCCAGGGTCAAAAAGTCAGATGGGAAATTCATGTCTTCATAAGCGTAAGTCCAGATTTTAAAGTGTTTCATATACCTCATATGGTTCGTATTCACTTGAGACTTGAAGAATGTGCTCTGGTTGTCAAAAAAATCTGCGGAAACATCAAATTTACGCAGATTCGGGCATTTCACGATGACCTTATAAGGGTCCAAGTATTGCGGTCCAAAGGCAATTATGGTCAGTTCATGTAGCTTGTTACCACAGTGGGTCAGCACAACAGGAACATCAGATGTATCAACTTCAATCAATTCCAAAACTGTCAGATTGGAAAGAACTCCAAATTCATGACTTTTTGATTTGAGAGGTCCGAGCACTGTAAGTGTTTCCAAAGAGGGGAAAAGTTCAAAGTCGATGTCACTCACAACGGCCATTTCTCTTAGAGAGAGCTGTTGGCTGTTGCCTCGGTAAGGGCGAATTCCGTTGATGTAGCATGCACCTACTGACATATAGCAGTACTGCAAGCATGGCAGGTGCTCCATGCACTCTACTTTGAATTGTCTCCAGTAATTTGTCTGCTCGTCGAGCACCGACTGTTGAAAAAAGTTAATCTTTATATTAGAGATAAATATATATTATGAACAAACTGACCCTATCTTGATTGTTCCATATGTTCCAATTGATATCAAGTTGCTTCAGGTTTTGGAGAAGGAACAAATTTTTCATCAACTGTGTGTCAACAAACTCAAAAGTGGTGGACAAGCTCACTAGATTTGGAAAATGCTGAGCAATTTGCTCCAAGTCATCAGAGTTGGAGACAAATCTTTTCAGTAAAATGTGCTTGAGATGTTGAAACTTCTCTAGGTGAGGCATCACATTGCTCATGTAGAAAGAGTCACCACCGCGTTTTTGTTTTTGCCACTTGTCTGAGATGGTCTCCAAGTTTGGACACCTCTCAGCAAGCATCTGCCACACCTTCTGGTCTAGCTCATGGTCCAACCAGTCGTATTGACCAAAGATGCTGAAGTCAAATTCCTTTGTCTTGTCATTCATGAGACAGCTTGCCAGTTTGTATATCCATTCGGTCATGGCAGGGGTCAGTCTGACTTGACAGGAGCCTTGCTGAGCAGCCATGCGTTTCAAGATTTCCTTTTTCAACACAAGTGCTGTAATCCAAATATTAAATTTCTTTTTATTCAAAATCTTTGTTATATTAGTTTTTTCAAATGAATGAGGAGAAATATAGATTAACTCACGGAGGTATTGATATGGCAAAAGATTTGTTTTTGCACAATCATCGCTGTCTGCTATTTTATTTACACACAGCTCTTTTAATGGTCTGACGAAGTTGCCCACATTGAATCTCTTCTCTCTAGCAATCTCCAGAAGTTTATTCAGCTCCTGATCTCTATCGTCACTGCTGAAATTAATTAACAACAATTTTTTCAGTTGTATGCATTCAGGCCATTCAGCTTATGAATGAATTGCTCTAATACATTAAGGATACCAATGAAGTAAAATTGAAAAGGAAAATATGAAACACTCTTTTTGAATTAATTTTCTATAAATTGCATTTTAATTTTTCATGATCGGAATATTTAATGTTATTTAGTTACCTTTCCGCCATTTTTGGGTTTAGTTGGGTCTTCGCATGAAGTAAGGTGATCGATTTCGTCTGAAGCTGCGCAAGAGTTGCTCAATCGCCTGAGAAAATTTAAACGATATCAACACCACCAACTCGTGAAAGGGCACTGGGAAAATGGTAAAATAACGTGAATGGCGCAATTATTTATAAAACGATTAAACGATTCAGAATTCAAGCGAAAAGAATCAAAATTTTCATTTTGGTGTTCTGCAATGCTAAGTTAGTTTAAGCAAATATTGGCTTTGAAACGATTGCAGGGGATAGAAAATTTAATAATTATGACACTTACCTAACGCCGAACGATATATTTCCACTACTAACAAGTTTAACAGCTTGTAAATTAGCAAAAGGATTAAGGAATCTTCTCGAAACCGCTCCCAACAATGGCAGGCAGAAGACAAAAAATAGCGACAGAAAACAATATGGCTGATGGCTGATTGCTCTCTGTGACTGTGAGTACTGTGACGTCAGCAAATCCGTTATGTTCAGTAAAAAAAGCGCGCGAGTAGGCGAGTTTGCTATACATATTATTCTCTTTACATCTGGTGCAGAACACAGAAACTTCACTGCAGAAACAATCATTTCACGACACAAAACATACTGTTCTTCTGCTCCTGCTATTCATAAACTGCACTGATATCAATCATATCAATTACTGCGATAATCAATTTGAATAAAGTAAAGCAATACACCGCAATACACTTTATTACGCATAGTACCCATACAAATTAATTATCTGCTCAAAATTATTTTTCACATGCATACTTTTTAACGAGATAAAAAAAAATCTGTTGCACAACATTTTAAAATGTGGATATAATATAATTACGCAATAACTGAGGTTTTTGCTATTGACCAATAAATAATTTGTAATTTATATTGAAATGATAGCTTTATTAAAATTCAACGAAAATTAGGGAGGAAACGCCTCTGGGAAATAATTTTCTAATCATCAGAAGAAAATATCAGGGTCTTTACAAATTAAATATGCAAACTTCGTTTTGCATGAATAAAATGAGAGGACTTCTGACCCTAAAGGCGACCTGTGGTCTGGTGGTTCTTTAAAATACCTACCTGGAAAAAAATTCAATTTTTAATACAATCATGCGACAAAAAGGAATAAAGAATAAGTTCAATAATTGCTATAAGCAATGAATAAATTCACTAAATAAAATCAAACTCTCCAAATTAAGTTTTTAGCAGTAAAAATGGAAGTTTCAAATTTTAATATAATTCTCCTTGGTAAGACAATTCCTGAAATCTTTTTCAAGACCTTGGACCACTCTCAAAATTCTCATGTTATTGCCGTTATTGGTATATAATGTTTTTATATTGATACAACGAGATAAATGAAGCTATTGACAGGATATTTGATGAGAGAGGGCGAAAGTCTTTTGATCTCAATAAGTGAGTTTATCAATTTTTCCAGAAGGCCCCTTTACGACGCAGAGCCAGCAAGGGACTATCTGCGTGTTGCTTCTCTTTTGGTAAAAAAAGGTGCAAGAATTAAAATAAGGATGAGCACAGTGGCGCAGAATGAGAGCAGCAGGCTTTTTGATATTTTGTAAGTTTTCGATTCATAATTTTCACCCATAAACTGCACATAAAAGTTGTATACATCTCAGTTTCAAAGTCTTTTTTTTCTCTTAACAGTTGGACGATAGCCGGCTCGGCGGTGCTCGTCATTTGCACGATTGTCATTTTTAACAGCCTGGAAAAATTGGTGCACGAGATGAGGCACATGAACTATCAGCACGATCATTTCATCGAGTATAACCATTTGCAAAGGCAGCATAGATATCCGCAAAATTTCTAGTTAAGGCTAAAATAAAATGTTATTAAAATAAATTTGAAATATTTTGTTCAAGCAAAAACTGTCGGAATCTTATTTACGATGACTCTCTCACAATCAGATCTCCACAAAGAGAAATTGCTGCCCTGCTGTCTGCATACGCTAACGTGATTCACCTGTTGACGCGGCGCTAAAAATCGCTGAGGGCATAAGCAGGGTGACTCACCGCTCCCTTTTTTTCAGACTGCGGCAGGTCTCTCTTTCTCATTTCTTTTGTGCTCAATATATAAACAAATTACAGAAGCATTAGTTAAACTTAATTTTATAATAAGAGATAGTGTGAATTAGTTATAAATTTAATTTTTGAAAATTTCAACAAATTAATTATATGTTTAAATAATTGTGATGCTTTTTATTGTATCAATTTCAATATATTTATAAAAAAAAACAGCTTATGGTTATGCTGGAGATTGGAAAAATTTATTAATATTATGAAATTGATTTTAACTAAAAAAAATTAGGTTAAAATATTTAACAAATTATAAAACAAAACAAGTTTTAAGTTTTAATTTGGTGTAAACGCCCTAGCTGAAATTATATGCTACATGCATACATTTTAAATTTTCAAATTTTTTTAAGAGAAGTCAAACCGCAGCGCTATCAAAAAGTAATGACCGTTGAGTGGCGGGACAAACATGCGGAATTAATATTTGAGCTAATTGTCGAGCGCGGATGGGTATGTATATATTTCATGGTCACGCGCGGGCGACCGCGAAAATTGTCGGTCAGGAGCGCGCACCTGCATCACTCATTGTCAGAATTAAGAGAAAAGGTGCGCGCACAATGCAGATTACTTTTCAGCAGAAAATCGCTCTAAATGATTCTGTGAAACGAAGTGTGCGTCGGATTAATTATTGTGAAAACAATCGAGGAAAATCCTTTCAGCGCCGATTGTTAACGAGATGATGCGTCCTTCATAAATTTTTAACACCGCAATTTGCATTTATTTAATTTTGGCATTGTTTGGAATTATTTAAGGATGCCGATTACGCGAAAAGGAAATGCCGGGCACTCCAGAGAGCGACAAACGCTCACGCTCTATGGCTGCAGTACGATATAAAAGTTTAATAACATGGCTCGCGCGCTTCATGACAAGGATAATGCACTGCATATTCCTCCAGCACAAAACGATGAATCACCTGCAAATGCTTAGATAATGTTAATGTTAAAATAAATGGGGCCAAATAATTGTCACTTTAAGGTAAATTCATTTCAAAATATGGTCATTTTAGTCGCATTACAATAAGAAATGCGGAAATCTCATTGCATCAGCAGAAAATAATTACACAGCAACGGCAGAAAAAGTATCTGGAAGAAACGCCAGTAAAAAATGAATTGAAATTGTTTGCTTCAAATAATTTGAGGATCTTTATAGAGATATATAGTTTTTTGAGTATTTCTAAGGCAGAATTTAATTAATTGTGCATTATCCCTAGAGGCCTAATAATGAGACTTATATCCCCCTATAAATTTAATTTCTGTTACAAAGGTGAATATACTGTTTGACCAACAATGACGTTTGGCATGCGATGCACCTCTCTTTCCCTGAACTGCTTTTGTGCGCAATTTTTTCCCGATAGACGCCAGCATGAGTGCACCTGTGCAAACGACGAAGCACACCATTGCGATTTCGCAGCAAATTCGGTACTAGTTACAAGACTGAACAAGACGCAAAAGGTATAATAATGAATTTTTCTATTTAATTAAGCATTAATTTTCAATTAATGTTTGATAAAGAAAAGGCAAAAAGTCTTTTACCTACTAAACATATTAATTTAAATTAGTGATGTTTTTTTTAATTTATATACATTAAACAAACATACTTAACTATGTATATTTTATATTTTTAATTTTTATAAATTATTTTTTAATATTAAATTTATAAAATTTAAACTAGTTTTTCTGTTAAATTAATTTTTGTTTAATTTGTATGGCAAATATTTAATAGTAAAAATAAAAAATATTAAATAATAATGTTGCAAACCTAAAAATGACTTCTATACTAATAGTAATTATGCATATCTTGGTTGGCCATTTCTGTGACTTATAATTCAATTACAAATGCCTTATTTGACAAAGTTCAGTAGGATATTTTGATAAAGATGAAAACATCCTTGAAAAGAATTTTAAGCTAAAACGGAGTGAAAAATACAAAAATTCCAAAGGCAACGCCGAAACATGTGGCATTCTTCTTTGAAGTGCCGCCTCGTCGATCTTGCGGAGCTTTTCTTGCTGCCACCCACTCCGATCAACCTTTCCTTCCGCGACTGCTTTGATATTTTCCGCGACGTTTTTCAAAGAGCAGAAAAAGGGCCTGTTGATGCTGCTTGCGATGGAAAAACGGGCAAAATGCCACTGATCAGCAAGGCAGACATGTAGGTACTTTAGAAAGCTTTTGAAATGTTGTGATGCCGCGGCCCGCGAGCGACAATGCACCCTGATATGTGAAAATATGACATTTCCGCGCGTGCAAGTGCCAACATGTTTCAGCCGCAGAAGGAAGGATTATTATTCCCCCTTGTTGTAAAATTTAATGCACTGCAAAATAGGTGCGTATATGGAGGCGGAAAAAGAAAAATGATTCAACAAAAGGCTTTCAATTTCGTCAGATTTTCTCGAAATAAAATAAATAAGCCGCAAGGTTTTAGAGGGGGAGCCGCGACTCGTATACAAAACCAAAAACCAACACATTTCCTTTAATTTGTTTATTCAAATGTGGTAATTTGACTGACACTTGATTTAAGACTTTACCTCTCATAATTCAAATGAAATTTTCACGCCCCAAATATGAGAGGGATTAAACTTTTTTTAGTATTTGAGGCCCCAAGAGAGCATAATTTGATTACCCCCGACCCGACAACAGCACCTCAGACGCGTCAAAATTGACCCCGGGGCTCAAAGCACGTCATAAATAATAACAACGCGCGCTTGAGAAAACCAAAGTTCTTTGTTTGGAGAAGCGTAATCCCTCTGACAGAATTATATTTTCTTTGTATTTAATCCCCGACTATTTATAAAACTCTCAAAATCGACTCCAATTTATCCGAAAGACGGCCACTTTTTCTCCAGTGTTATTTTTTTCTGTTGGCACAGCTGCGGAGAATAATTACACCCAAAGTATAAATTGTACCCCGGAGGCGGCCAATGTGTGTCACACTACGGGGGTGGTTATTTATGGCCGTGAAAAAAGGCTCTGGCTGCCCGCTTTGGAGATGTTTGACAAAAGAAGATGTGTGGTTGCTTTCCAAGGGGGTGTCAACAAGGCTGAAAAGAAGAATTGCCAAAGAAAAGCAGCAGGCAATAAGAGAAGAAGTGCAAGTAAAAACTTATCTTGTTGTGTCTTTCGCTGGAATTCAAGAGCAGCAAGAATAAGGGCAAGGAAATAATAACTGTTTCATTAAGGTCATTGTTCATTTTCTTTTGACCATTATAATCATTGAATAATAATCTACGACAGTATACGCAATAATAATTTTGGCGATGAATTAAATTCTGACAGAAAAATATTATTGGAATTTTTATCTCTGAAACAATCAGTTATTTCATTTAATTGTTTTAAAACTTTGAAGAAAATGCAGAGAGCTTTTAATTTTTGGCTAAGAATGAAAAAAAAACTCGTCTGGTTTTATAAAGATTTTTATTTATTTTTACTAAAACCTCCCAGCTCTTTTTTATTTTCGCTCTTCTGTTTCCGTTTTTTGGTATATTTTGGAATCTTTTGACATTTTCCGCCTCTGATTTGACACTTTAGAGTAAGAAAAGGCGGTACCGATTGAAGACGTACTTTACAAGTTTTTCAGTCCGACTCCCTAGGGCTGACCATTATGAGGGATGATTTTCCCCGCAACGAGGCCACCACCAGCAACCCTCTGAAGGTGGCCCACCCACATCAAAACCTTTTGTTTATTTTAGAAATCGCCAAGCTTCTCTCAATTCCAATAGGATTGAGCGTGGAGAATTTTCTCACACAAACTTTTACCGTCGCTTTTGCTCACGTCTGACGCGCTGAAAAGTAATTTACAATCGCGCTCGTTTTCAGAGAAAAGTGCTATACAGCGGGTCTGTCTGCTCTTTTTTTGACCGATTTGACACGCTCGCCCCAAAAGTAAAAATAGAGGTGAAATATTGGGCAACAACAAAGGAGGGAAACCAGCACTAGTCATCTTTTTGGCACATTTTACAACCCAAAGGAAAAGAGAAAAAAACGCTGCTGTCGCTCTCGTCACTCCTATTGATACCCTTTTGTTGTTGCTCAACATCTTTTTTCTTTCTCTACAAATATACCAAGGGAGAATAAATTTGTGTCAAAGACCCTGAGCTTATAGTTCTGGCGCGATATTGGATTCGGGAAGAAGTGCGTGTGTGTATAGAGATAAGATCTCTCGCTGCTTGTTAAAAAGCAAAATAAAAAATACTATGAGGGGCACCCAAACCTGAACGGCTCACTGCCGCTGTCAAAAGACGAGCAGGGAGAACCCTTGTAACGTGAAATTATGAGATAATTGTCGTGTATGGATGGCTCTTTTCACTAATGTTGGCGCCGTCTGGAATAAAATGTAGACCTCTGGCTACTTTTGAGAATTTGCGGCCACTGGACATTATGTTGAAATCTTATACTAGAGAAGATAATATTTTGTGACCATAATAAATGAATTGTTTAATAAAACTTTTTTTATGTTATAAAAATAATTCACAAAATTAATTTAAGAAAGTCCTTTCCGGTTAGGGTTGAGAGTTTTATAAATAAAATATTTTGATGGACTTAAATTTGAGTATTTTTTAGTTAAACCTACAGAATATTTAACGCTGCCATATTGGGACCTATATAATAAAATCTTTAAATTCCTCAATTTTACAAATTTCTAGCTTGTTTAGTCCTTGATATTCAAACCTGCCGATATAAGGCGAAGTGCTGAAAAAATCATCCGATAACCGAAAATTTTCAATTAAGTCCTCGAAATGACAAACATGTGAATTGGAGTCAACCGTTTTAAAATTAAAATATCTTGAT